TTCTGGATGGCCTCCCATCCCTCCAGCATGTTGACTGCACCACACACCTTGATGTCATCGGTAAACTTGCTGAGGGTGTGCTCAACCCTACTGATATTCCTTCACTTATATTTGATACTGGAATTGTAGAAATTTGTGTTACTGAAAGTGAATACCATTTTGATGTTCAGGAGAATGAATAACTCAGGAAGAGAGTATTTAGGAAATAACCATAAGGAGTTTTAGGTTATTTAACTGTCTTACTAAGCTAATATGATGTAACGAATAAAATCACTAAAATGTTGACTTCTGTTATTGTAGAGCTGCCTTTCTTCCTTGTTATGGTAGTTAAAATTTTTGGCAAGTTTCAGGTAACGAGTCCACTTTTATTGCCAAATTCCCACTAGTGCTGCCTAATCTTTTGGACTTGGCGTAGTGATAACAATCTGAACCAACTTCTGTTGTTGTTAGTGACAGACCCTAATATCTAGGCAGAAGAGCCGCTGCCTGGGTGTTGTTTGGGGAACTGAAAATATGAGTGTTCAATGTCAATTTCTATTGACAAATCATTATGGAATACTATCAAGCATAGAGAATGCTGGATCATACCTAAGAAAAGAGGTGAGGGACATGAATCTTCAAGTACACAATGTCGCTTAAAATGGAGAAGGATTAAGATTTTTTCAGAGTTTCTGATATTCATTTTTTCCCTCAGAAAAAGAAGTAGAGATTAAAGTAGAATAAAGGAGAGAGACTGTAGCAGTGGTGCATTCATTTAATAAGAAATAACAGGTTGATTTTTATTGCTTTTTAGGAGCTTATGTAAGAATGTTTCAAGAAGACCAACATTTGGGCACAAATCTAGAAAGTACCAAATACTCTTGGTCTATAATCACAAATATTCATTGTTTCTCCAAACAATACTAGAAACATGAGTGCGTTGTCTTATAACTGGATTAGTGACTAATACAGTGAAAGCTTCTTCTGTGGCTAATTCGTTAAGGGTATTTTAGTTGGTTTTTTTAATGCCTCTTTTCTTTTTTCTGTATTTCTGGCTGTGTAATTAAGTAGTTGAATGTTTAGTGTACTCCTGACCCCTCCATTCCACTCCCTCCCCACCTCTGAGGTGGCTTGCTCTGGATCTGTGTTGATTACCTAGAGAAATTCACAGATGCTTAAATTTTTTAATATTTTGTTGGTTTAAGCAAGAGTGGATGGGATGTGAGTAATGAAGATTGGACTAATACAGGCTACAAAACCCCCATAAAATTCTTAACCATGAGGGCACAGAATAAGAATTTGTAATGTCGTGGACACTTATAAGCTGAAACTCATCAAGAAAAAAAAGATACAATTTATTGCAGATTAGGAGTAGGAGGTTGTCGATGGCTTTCAGTAATGTCAATCTGAATTTTAATTGGAAAAATCAGTCACATGCAAACAAATGTATTAATGGATTTACTATGAATGCTGCTAATACTTAATACTAAAATTTATTCAGAAGAATTATAATCTTTTGCAACGTAGTGATGTATTAATGTTAGAGATTTCTTCATCCTTAGCTTCTCTTGCTCTGTTACTATAAGGATTTTACAAATGCTTTTACTGTTCTTCGGGAGCTGAATTAAAAGGACATACTGGCAAACTTTTCAGCCCATTTATGGTATTGAGTCAGATAGGAGAAATAGTTGGTCTTTAAGACTGTGGTGTCATATTAGAGCTAAATTGTGCTCTTGTTTCTTGTTCACATTCAAAAGGTGAAGTTGAACTAATAAGAATAGCAAAGATGGTAGAAAAGAACAGTGTTTTAAACAGTCCTTGTCTTTATTACCAGAAAAAAAACCTGAAATAAGAGGTTAATATAAACTAATTCTAGCTACTCCCTTTTCAAAGTGCTGCAGCCAGTTGGTTTTTTCTTTCTTTTTCTTTAATAAGCAAAAAAAAAAATATGGTGAACAATAAGTATACATGCTAATCGCACAATGTTGGCACACATTTCCAAAGTATGTATTAAGCTTCAAATGCTGTGTGTGGTATTAAACAAGTGTAGTGCAAACCAGTGATAATACAAATATACTGGAGAAGCCCTTGTTTCATCTCTATTAGTGCTAATTTTAAATAGGAAAGAAAAGTATCTGTTCTAACTCGGCATTTTTAAATATAGGTTTAAATACAGGACCAGATCCTGTGCATCTTGGATCTTGGGTACTTAATCTGATGTTCTCGAAAAGCTTGTTTCTTGAAAATTTCTTTCTTTTTAACTGAATGTTTGTAATTAAACACTATTCTAGACAACTGTAAACAGTTAAGTGCAGACAAATATAGAATGAGTTTTGTGGGTTTTGTGTTGTGCCTGAATTTGTGTAAGCTCGTACAGGCACATAGCAGGTTTCCTAACAGGGTCAGTAACCTGTAAATGAGGGTTGAAATGATGTATGTATCTGTGTATTTTTCACCAGGATTTGTTCACATTGGTTTTTGTCCCTACATAGTTTTTCATTTTCACTGCCTTTTTTATTTTGACTTCTCCCATAATGGTGAAGTTTTTGTTGTCTTGAGATACACATTTATATATAAAAAAAAGTCTGTTAATCTGTATTATGATATTCTTAGAGGTGTATAAGCGTATTGGTGTAAAAGCTGTACAAAACAGAACTCTGTGCTTTTGTTGGTTTGTTTTCTTGGTTTTGTGTTTGGTTTTCTTTGTGTTCTTTTGTTTGTTTCTTTGTTTTACTTCTAAAAAAAAAAAAATGTGTTCATTTTCCAGAGCAATGACAATGAAGAACGCCTGCAGGTTGTAAAACTTCTAGCAAAAATGTTTGGGGCAAAGGATTCAGAGCTGGCATCTCAAAACAAGCCACTTTGGCAGTGCTACCTGGGGAGGTATATGCTGGTTTAGTTCCCTTTCTAGGAGGGGAAAAAAACATTCAATGAAGTATAATTCAGCCTTTTTTTTTTTTTTTTTTTTTTTTAAATGACACAGCTAAGTGTGAGTTCCCTCCTGCTACTTTATCTGAAACCTGACAGATAATACTAAAGAGATTATTTTACATACATCTTCTGCATCTGTGATTCTGCAGTGAAAAATTATAAATAATCCCTTTTTTGGGTTTTTTTTTTTTTTGCAACTATATCGCCATTGTCAAGAAAAAAAGTAGTTTAATTTCTTCAGAACTGAAAATATTCAATGATGAATTAATTCTAAAATAGCATCAAATGACATTTGCAGTATAAGGTGATATTAGAACTGGTTTTGAGGCTTTTATGTACAGTATTTGCATACTGGCTTCAAATTTTTTTTAGTGGTAGGGGTGTATTAAAAGAGGTATGTAGTATTCACAGTGCTGCAAACTCAGTCTTTTGTTTTTGAAATGTTCTGCCAGTTTGAGATAGAAGATATAGCTGAAGTCAGGAGAAACTTAAGTATGGCTACTGTGATGAAAATGTTTTTGATTTGACTAAATGAGGATATATTTTATAAATTATTACAAATGAAGTAGCTTATAATTCAGCATTCAGTTGTATCAGGTGCAGAGTCCTCAAAGAAATACTACTTTAAAAGTACATGGAACTTAATTGAGGAAGGCCTTTTGCTTGGAAGTATATAACAATTTAAAACATTGCATGTCATCAAAATATGCCAGATCTAATTGGGCCCAAAGGGAAATGCTTCATTGTGTTATAATGTGAAGCAATGTGAATATGTGCAATCTGTGGTTCATAATTACTGTTTTCAGCTAGTTATGAATCACATACATGTATTTATTTTTTTGAGGATTTTAACTAAGTTATAATAGCTGTGTTATTAAAGGAACCATTCTTAAAATCTCTTGATTTTGGAAACATACCTGTTTTTTACTAAAACAGTTATTCCTTGAAACATCTTTGTTTGATAAATAAGCATTTCAACAGCAGTAATGTTCTAAAATTATGTTTAATTTGTTTAAAACCAAGCGTTTTGAGGATAGCTTGAAAATGCATTTAATTCTTAAAAAGAGTTTTTTGTAACTCTCATTACATCAATAGTTTAATAAAAATTAAACATGAGAAAATACTAGTTTTCAGGCATCAAACCTAATTCAGTCTTTCAGAAAAAAAAGCACAATAACTTACAGAAGTTGAAATTTCTTCTTTCTCAGAAGAAATTTGTACTAGGCTAGATGCCCATTTGTTTGCTGTCTGTCATGCAGTTTAAAGAGGGGACGAATATTGCAGTCTTAAAAAACTTTTAGTTGCTGATGCGTGGTTCATGGTTAATTATGTGGAGCATTACAGAAAAAGTAGTTAAAATGTGCCAGACGTATTTCTAATAAATAGTTGTTGTCTGTCATGTGTACCAGCAGAGGATATTTCTCTTCATGTTCAGAACATGAATTAATAAACGAGTACAGGGATTTTTTTCTTAAGCTAAATACAGTCTTCTCAATACTGTGAAATCAGAGATGTTTTATGAATGTAACTCTGCATGGGAAGCATAAAAATATTTTCAGAGGTATTTGAGATGGTGTAGAAATAAACTAATTGTTTTGGTAGAAGTGATATTTTTGCTGTTGTTGTAATGTGTTGTCTTGTTTCTAAATAGGTTTAATGATATCCATGTACCTATTCGTCTTGAATGTGTGAAATTTGCAAGTCACTGCCTTATGAACCATCCCGACCTAGCAAAAGACTTAACAGGTACCAAATTTATTGTAATATTAAAATACAATTTAAAGTCTCCTGGAAAAGTAAGGAAGGTTAGTTGTAATCCTAAGTAACATTGTCAGATATTGTAGAGGATGTGACTGAGGTTGGAGTTCTAAGTCAGAGTCCCTGCCTTGAGTGTTGCTTTTCAGGCTGAAGGGATTGTACATAAAGAATGACTTAACTGAAGAGATCACTCTCCCTCTCCTACAGTAGTTGCATGCCCAACTGCTGTTGAAATTAAGCACCATGGGATCAGGCAAAGACAGCCTGGCTAACTTAGTGGTCATGGCATTTATGATTAAGGTGCAGAGTGGAGACTTCAGTTTCACAAAGCTGAAATGTGTAAATATGCAGCCGCTGTTGAAAATGTTAAAAACAATCCTCGTAACTGTGACCACAGCCATTGGTTCCTGCTGCTTCAGATCACACACAGCCTGTAATTCAAGACCTCTGTAGGAAGAAGGCAACCAGCATAGATTGAAGCATTTAGTGTTTGTTGCTCCTGATCTTTTAATAAAAAAAGTGTAATTAAAGAGAACTGGTTTGTTTTGTGTTTTGTTTTTGTTTTTTTTTTTTCCTCTCAAAGTGTATATAGAGACTGTATCTCCCCCGATCGATAAACTCCCGCTTGTTATTTTTTGGAGGTAATATATTTGTCCATTCGCTCTAAGGAGGGAATTTAAAGGGCTGTTAAGTGCATGGTCTTGCTCTCCTGCTTGCTGAGCATTTGTCAAGTTAGACACAAATACAGCCAGGCTAGAATTATCCTGTAGTTATTGATATTGTTAAGCCAGTTTGGAGAGAAAAAAAAGAAGTTTCTGGTCCAGACCTTAATGGAAAGGTAAAGATATTTCCTCTTTGATTATCAGAATTGTGTTTTCAAGGTGTGGGGGTTTTTTGGTTTGGTTTTTTTTTTTATATTGCAGAAAGACTTTGTGCCCCCTCTAATGGTATCCTCTGGGAAATGTGATTTTGCTTGCCCCTCTTGCCACACAGTGCTTATTGATGTCAAATTGTTGAAAAATTTCTCTGATTCACTGGTGTTTGAGACCAGAACTGTTTTGTGCATTGGCATTGTTCTTTGTTTGGTTTACTTTATTACGTGTTCCTGTGGAACAAAATTTAAAAAAAAAAAATCTTATTTGGATTTCAGATTTCATAACCTCCATAAGTGCAAAGCTTTATTTCTTGATGTGCTGATTACCAGAAATGTTAATAGCCAATATTTCAGATGAGACTTGAAAATTTTCACTGGTTGTTGAACAGTAATAAGAGAGCAGTAACCTCTGGTTATTTCATTCAGAGTAAACTTTGAATTTCGATTTTTTTCTTAACATTCTCAGTGTTTCACTGATGTATGCTGTGTACCATGATCTTGACTTTTGTGTGTGTTTTTCTACCCATTTGTGCTTCTAAATTAACCCAAAATATGTACTTCTAAAAAGATAAATGAACTTGGCCATTTTATTTGTCAGCTTTCTAAAATGACAATAGGTGGCTAGCATGTTTGACAAGTAGAAGCAGAAACCTTAAAATATTGATAGTATAAGATGATTGATGCTACCAAATAAGTAGCAATAGGCCAAAATAACCTAGGAAAATTGTTGAAGGTGAATAAACTAGGATGTGTCTGAAGTGCTATAGTTTGGTCAAAGAGGATGCTTTTGCATGTCTCCTAATTTGTCCCTGCTTACAATGCTTACATGGCTCGTGGAGCATTCCTGGAGCATGTGAGCTAGATTCCATGTGAATAATACAGAAGTTGTGATCAGGAGTGCAACTAATGTGCTCCAGCAGCCAAAGGGGATGGAGTCTGCAGGAAGAGAGTAGCCTCTAGTGTGAAGTAAGACTAAAATGTCTGTAGTGTGGTTATCAAGTTCTCAGCAGTCTGTTCTACTCTGCAGATCCGATTCTGTTTGTCTATAATAATTGCTATGTAGACATAACCTACCTGTTATAAGAAATAATAAAAAATAACAATATAACCCCATAACTCTTATTTCCCTAATGCCAGAAATACAAATACTTGATATTCTAAGCAATATAAAGTTTTACTTATGTTCCAGTTAATCTTAGAGAAGACTATTTGTTGATTACTCTTGATGCTGAAAACAGTGGAAAATCATGTTTTCTGCTTCTGCCAGTTGAGTACAGTTAGAGAAAGAAAAGTAGCTGAAGTGGTATCCTTACAATGAAATGCTTACTCTATTTTTTCCAGAATATCTTAAAGTAAGGTCACATGATCCTGAAGAGGCCATAAGGCATGATGTTATAGTGTCCATAGTTACTGCTGCTAAAAAAGATCTTTTGCTTGTCAATGATCACCTGCTTAATTTTGTCAGAGAACGAACACTGGACAAGCGGGTAAGACATAATTAGTACTAATAATGGCTGTGTGTTATATTATAGACTGTAATTCAGCTTTTTTAAAAATCAGTGCTTCTAAAGAGTGCTGAACTAACTTTAAAATGATGAATGAAAACCAATATCATGCAAAAAAATTTGAAGTAGTGTCTCTTAATGAGACATCTTTTGCCCCTGACTGGAATGCCACATTTTTCATTGTGCTTTTATTTAAGATAGTATGATTAAAAAAAAAAAAAAAGGCTGAAGCACAATAATGTTGTTCCAGTTGTCTGGTTTTAATAAAACTTTTAAGTAAAATGAGACCTTTGTAAAACATTGTAACATTTGTCTTAAGTCTTGCAAGCAGGTTTCGAAATGTATTGTAGATTACTGATGAAAAATGTTTCACCATCAGAGGTAGTTTACCTGTTTTTAATTAGGTCATTGGGAGACTGCAAATCAGTAGTTTTCAAATTTGAATAGTCTTGAAATTTGGTTTAGCTATGTTTCATTATTTAGTAAAATTAAGAGGTTTGCTGCTTATGTTAAAGTATAGTAAACAAGGCTGTTGATGGCAAACTTTTAAAATTAATGTTATCACCTGTTTGGGTGGGGTTTTTTTCATTTGGTGACATGCTTTCCTCTGCACCTGTAATACAATTGCAAATATTCAGCATAGACTGTAAGAAAGGGTGTTGGCTTAAATTTGTAGCAGTTCTAAATCCAAGAGGCATACTTGCATAGCAGTTACTGATACTGAAAGGTTTAGCATAATAGATATGATGCACTCTGTGTCCTAATGAGAAAGTGTTGCACTTAGAATTCACTTTAACTTTTTTTGCAAATTAAATTATTTTATTTTGGTGTAGAATAGGAGCTACCTACCAGGAAGTTCTGCAATCTTTTCAGTCTTGAGTTTTGAGCTGCTAAACTGGGTCTATTTCTTTTTCTCAAGTGGAGAGTGAGGAAGGAAGCTATGATGGGACTTGCACAGATATACAAGAAATATTCATTGCAATCAGAAGCAGGAAAAGAAGCTGCAAAACAGATATCATGGATCAAAGATAAACTTCTGCATATATATTATCAAAACAGTATTGATGACCGGTGAGTAGTGAAAGTTACGTGATTCTGTGGATAACTGTGTAACATAGTAAGCAGATTTGTTTTTCCTTTATGCTTAAGTGCCAACAAGAAGGAGGAGATTTGATAATCCTGTATGTTTTGATCCACTGTGTATCTTGCGCAGCTGCAGCCAAATGTTGTCCTGTGTTTTCTTCTTCTTCTTTTTCTTTAAGCCCAAAAGTGATTCTAAAGTGTGAGATGGGTTGGAATATTTCAAAATTTTTAGCTGTATTTCAACAGTGCTTCAGTAAAGGACGTCTTTTGCTTATATTTCAGTAGATTGCTGATTTTTATGTTAAAATTCAGTAAGTGAAATTGCTCTAGCAATCTTGCTTTAGGTTTGCATGTTCTTCCTGTATGCTTTAAAGATAAGTCTAGTGCATGTAGTGACAACGGTTAAGGCATCTCACTCTGCACAAGGTTATTTTTCTGTCTTATAATAGCTGTGAATCAGAGCCTTTTCCTGGATTTGTGGTGAAAGCAGTGCTTCTGTCATACCAGTTGTAGCCTTGTATATGGTTGTTTGTATTGAAAAATAGATTGTTGCACATGGGGAACTAGTTTGGAAACCAGTTCACCTTGACTGATCAAGGCCATCTTGATGGCTTTGTACATGAGCCTTTGGCCTTCACAGCATGATCAGGTACAAATGGCATTGTAGACCCATACAAGCCTTCCCGAAAACTCATGGCCTCTAGAAGTCATCTTCAAAATAAGCAATTATTTCATGGTACCATGGAAGTGGATGGAATTGTCCAGATCTTCAGATCCAGTCTTACCCACTCACGTTTTGCTTAAACTTCAGAATCTTCCTCAGCTAGTTGGGTTTTGGTTTTGGCCACCTGCTCCAGTTGTGCGTAAGGATTTTCTTCTCTTTTCTAGCCTAAACATACACGATTTTTGTTTTTTATCTACTGTATTCTGTTAACATTGACCTCAATGTGCAAAAGTCTTGGGCCTTCTTGGTATTTGAGATTTCAACATGGACTTCCTTTTCCTTTTGTTTTTTCTTCTCAGTCTTTCCTAGGTAACTGATGGACCTAAAACTTTCTCTCCTCCTGTTTCCAAATAAGGAGCTTCCATGTTGCCAAGCTTTTTTTAATTCCCTTGGGAATGTACCTGCACTTTTATTGCAGAAGCAAAAGAAATAGGATAAACTCAGCCCTTGGGGAAGGGGCCAGGGAGGGGTGGAGAGAAGTCAGTTCTTTCTGGCTAGTATCTGAATACTCCTTCTGGGCCTCATGACAATGTGTGATATAATCAACATGCTCTTTCATTTTTTTTATTTTAGGCCCGTTAATTTGGGTTAATTCATGAATTTACCCCAATACTGACCTGTAATGGAATTCACTGATAACATCTCTTTGGGCTGATAATTAAAATACATCCTTCTCTAAAATCCTTCAGTTCCTGTCTAGATTAATACATCTGATTTTGATAATGTAATCTCTTAAATGTCCTACTGCTATCATTAACATTACCTCTTCTGTAATGATACATTTTTGTTCGGTTTATGTTGAATTGGAAGTTAAGTAACTTGACCTTTAGGTTTTTGAATAACCCTGTCTTTATATGCAACAACTGATCTTTAGGTAGGTCTGAGAATTTTTGAATGAATGTTTTAACAATTCAGGACCACTTTCTTCCTTTACAGTTTAAGTTTCTTAATCCTGTCTTTCAGATTACTTGTTGAACGCATCTTTGCTCAGTACATGGTTCCCCACAACCTGGAAACAAACGAAAGGATGAAATGTTTGTATTACCTTTATGCAACACTGGATTCAAATGCTGTGAAGTATGTGCTATTTTTGACTTCTTGCAAAATAATTTTTAATATAATTATTACTGTAAATTAGTTCTAAATTGTTATGAGTAGCCTAAGCCAGTGGATGAAAGTAGTTTACGAACTATCAGAGTACAGAATGTAGCAATAGTATCTGTTTTTCAAGTGGGGTTTTGAACAAAACAAAACAAACACTAATAGGATGTTTTCTAACAAGGTGTGGTACCTTTTAACCATAAACAGCTACAAAAAGTAGTGTCAAAGATCTGTAAAGAAGCTTGAGTTGCATGTCAGTCCTTCTGTGCCTGAAAAGAGATAGCATAGATAGTAGCATTGACCAGCCCTAGGCCTTGTTTGAGAACTTCTCGATAATATACTCCTTGTTTTAGCAGCCAGGATAACTTAGGAGTGGGAAGAAATTACTTGTTCGTCTTTCCTCCTTCAATATGCATTTTACTTGTAGTTCTGTTATGTGCCTTCTCCATCTTAAAATGGACATGAATCTGACTAATGATAGTTTTGCTGCTGTAATGTTCACAGTTTGATTGAATTGAGTTAGTTTTACTTTGTTTCTCATTTAGTAGTACTCTGTCACTTGAAAATCAAATATAGGTTTTGTTTTGTTTTGTCTTTTTTCTCCCAAGGGAGACTAGAAAAAGCTTTCTATATGAAAGAATTATTAAATATTAAAAAACCCCAAAGCCTTAATACTACAGCAACTGGTGATTGAATCCTCTGCATTTCTTGTGTTACCTGCCTGAAGATATTACAACTGTAATGAACTAAAACCTACTGTTCCAGTAATTTTTAGTGTAGACTAAACAAAAATGCAGAATGGATTGTTTTCAGTACTTGTTATTTCATGCAACAAATAACTTATGAATTCTACAGTTTTCCTGTGTAGCAGTACTCATTTTAAAGACATAGTATATTAGTTATATAGAACTGACTTTTTACTTGTGGATTCTGGAAGTTTTTTAAATGAAGCTGTGACTTATTTTTTCCTGTGGCTTATTTTTCCTGGAAAGTGTGCTAATTTTCAAATTTTGTTGAATGTCTCTAAGGCATCTCTTACAAGTCCAATCGTGTCCACTTTTCACAATTTATTCATCTAGTAGCTGCTTTCTGTGTGTAAGAAAAACATTGGTTTGATGATAAAAATCTTAAACATCTGCTTTAGCCTGCTTTTTGGAATGTTTTTAGAAGAGTGATTTCAGGCTTGTACAAATGAGTTCTTTATGGGTCAGACATCAGTTACTTCCAACTTCTTTTAAAGGCAGTGTGGTTAAGCATCTGAAATGAAACTTGTTTCAAAATCTCACTTAGTTCCAGTGTAATATGACCAATTAAATTTTCCATATCATGCCATTAGGAAACATTTAGCCTTTGCTCACAGAGCAATCAAAGTTCAGATGATAAGCGCATTTCTGAGTCTGAAATTGAAAAGAATTTAAAGGGTCTTATTGGACACTTGTGTCATTTATTGAATAGATGATGTTGACAACTCTTCTAATTTTTTTAACTTTTTAGAGCATTGAATGAAATGTGGAAATGTCAAAATCTACTACGACATCAAGTAAAGGATTTAGTTGACCTAATAAAACAACCCAAAGTGAGTTCAATTTATCTTTATCTCACAGTGAATATGCGGTTTTACTTAATATGCTGTTTTCAATTCCTTTTGTTTGACCATCTCAAGCTTATTTGTAATGACAGATAGAAAATACTGTGAAAGGTAACTGATATTCCATTACACTACACTTACAGTAGGAAATGTGTATACATTTTGTTAGTAAAACTGAAGAGGGAGGGGTGTTACATAAATTTTTAACAGATTTTGCCAGTCATCTGCTACTAAAATATATTTGCTCCCAGCGTTTGAGTTACATCTTGCCAGGATTATTCTGGCTCTTGAAAGAGCGGGAAAAACCAGCATGTTATTTTTGACTGCCAAATTGAGTAATCAAGAAGTACCTATACACCCTAACATCTTATGTAGGATTAGTAACATTCAAGAAATCAGAATATTTTTATCCCAACAGGTGACTTGTTTCTCTTCCCTCTTGGAAACTTCTTAAGTGTTGGAGGTATCAGACTACAATTGAATTACTTGTTTATAAATCCACACAGAAGGAAAAAAAAACCAACATTTTTTGAGCATTTAGAATATTCTCATAAAATGTAATTAGGTTTATTTCAGTTATATGTATGTGCATACTCATGTTTGGGCGGAAAAACAATCATAAGATGAAATTCTGGATATAATTTGGAATGTGATTAGAACTTGACTTTAATGCCAAAGTTTAATCTGGTGCTTTTTTAACAGAAATAATATACAGTAAAAAATGTTGCCATGCTCACATTCCTATATATGTGTGTGTGTGTGATTTTTATTTTCTATATGCATATATAATCATATAACACAGTAAATTTAACCAAGTTTTATGACTGAATTATCCGTTTGCTGGAATTACCCAAACCAGAAAGAGTGGGTAACTGTGTGGTTGGATTGTCTAATATATCTGCTTAGAAATGCTACTATCTTGCAGACAGATAAAGACTTACCAGAACAAAATGCATCACTTACTGCTTCAGTCCTGATTGCAGTGAAGTTCATAATTTTGACTTAGTGAGCTTAAAACATGCTGTAATGTTCTATTAAATTCTAAGTGCAGTAATTGTTAGTACAACAACACTTCATTGTGTTTCGATGACTGTATCGAAATATTTTTCATGTTTTATGTTATTTGGTGTAGTTTAAATACATTTATGCATTTAAAACCTGAGTTAAGCGTCTTGATATTTTCTGCATTTCAGTTGACAGTGAAATTTCAACTTTTCCTTTTGTTTTCAGGGAGATGTAATGAAAGTTCTTTCTCAATTGTAAAATATCAAATATGATAAGCAATTAAACATGCAGGTTTTGACAAATGACAGCATAAGCCTCAAATTTCAAACAGTGTATGCTGTTGACATGTTTGCATTTGGCCATGTGGCTTTCATCCTGTCTTTTGCTATTAAGTGCTAATTCTCTACACTTGAATAGTCTTTTGAGTAACAAGACTGCATGAGAGAACTTAGGAGGCTTGTGACAGTCCAAGATACTGTTGCAGGCAACAAAAGGGGTTTGAGTCAGGGAATTTTACTTAATTTATTTAATTGTCAATTAGCATATACTTTTAATTCTTTATTCTGATGTTGAGAAGTGAAAGTGAACAAATTAACACTTAGAGAAGCTGCCTCTGGCTCCAGATGCTGCTCTTCCCTGCTTCGTGGTCTCCAGGCCCCTTGCCGCATGCCATTCTCGTGTCACTTTGGTGAGGTGGTGGCAGCACAGGAGATGGGAGTCAGGGCATGATGGTTCCTTTACTTTTGCTGCTCCTCATTTCTTACCCACTGCTCACAGTCCCTTTAGTCATAAAGTCCCTCCAGGGTCTCCTCACTTAAATACGTTTTCTCAGAGGCACTATAGGCTCCTCTGACTGGTTGAAGTTTGAGTGGTGCATTGGTTTGTTGATTGCAGAGCTGGCTATAGAAGCAGCTTTGACCAGCGCAGGGTGGTCTCCAACCTCCTGCACAGGTCACCCCAGCAGCCCTTTGCTACCCGTAACCCTGCTTGTTATGCTCAATGCAGATGCTTAGCTATTTTTGCCAAAACTTTTATTTCTGTGATGCTCCTTGTATGATTTGTTTGGGTTGGTTTTTTCCACCAAATGGATAATTAATTCATGTAATTAAGTCATTGTGTTTAAGCTAAGAGTGCATTTTCATAGTCGTAAGCTGAAGGGGCATACAGTCCAAGGCACTAATAATCCTGAGACAAATATCCATTAGCCATTAAGAGCTGTAGAAAGTGTGTTTTCTTTCAGGAAACAAAACTGAAGTGAACTAGTAACCTTTTCGAATATGACTTGGCATTACCATATGTGCTTTTTCACTTTGGTCTAATTTCTCCACTTAGTCATTGTAGCTTCGTTGTTGGCCCTGTGGCAAGCGTAGGCATTGTGAGAGCTCTCGGAGATGAAGAGGAATAGGACAAGAAGCAGTGTAAGAAGTTACCACAAGGAAACTTTTTAATAGGTAGTAATGAAAAAAAATTGCACTAAGGGTGATCAAATATGGGAACAGGTAGCCCAGAAAGACTGTGACATCTTCATCCTTGTAAATATTTAAAATGCAACTAGGTGAGGCCTGGAGCAAAACCTGATCTAAGTAGGTGCAGGTGACCTACAGTTGTTGCTTCCAAGCTACATTATTCTGTGATTAAAAGTCTTTGAACTTTCCAGTCCACTGTTTTTCTCATCTTAGAAACCCTTTTTGCTGTGTAGTGAAACTCTTCATGCGTTCTTATTTCCTCATCAGGCTCTCCACAGTGTAAGCACCATTGAGGAGACTGAAAATGTGTTAAGAAACTTTCTGTTGATCATAATTTCTCCTAATCTGAGACAGAACAGATATCAAACTTGCCTTTGAGTTACTTTTCTGAAAAGCAAAAGCATAAATCACAGCTCCTCTTGTTTTCTCCTGCAGCTATGGTATACAGTTAAATAAAATACATAACTTACCTGTTGACATGTGGAAAAGTGAGTGAATGCTGGTTTGTCTGTATTAGAGTATAAGCTTCATTTGCTTCAGGTGCTTCCATATCATGAATGCAGGATAATGTAGATAAAGTGCCACGGTAGATCTTCTAAAAAGAAATGTTTCTTGATCTTCTTCTATCTGTCATTATTCAGCAGTTATACTACTAGAATTTAAAAGAATACTTCTGACTCCGATATATTTCATTTTTGGCTGAATGATTAGTAATTTACTCAATTTAAGTTCTGTTTTAATGAGGGCTTTAGCCGGTACTTCAAGTCCATAGCCAGCATTAGAAGACCAAACCAGTCAGGACCAAAGAAATTCCACAGTACAGTTTTGGTACCTTTCTTCTAGTTGCAAGAGATTCTGCATCTGTTGACATCATTATTTGAATCCTATAAGCCAGATTTGATTTCTGGTTGTTTGATTTGATTTCTGGTTGTTTTCTTTTGGTTTTTTTTTTTCATTTCTTGTCTGAACATACTTGTTCATCTGTGACAGCCAGAAGCCCTGAAAATGGCAGCATTCTTCTGACACTAAAAAGTGGTGGAAAGTTCTGCAGAAGTACTTAATAGCTAGAATTATGTGCCAAGTGTGTGTGTAACAAGATAGAGGGGATGTTCACTAACAACATTGTTTGTCTTAATCTCATGCTATATTTTTATTATAATCCGATCTTTCCGACATTGTCACTATTTTCAAACGTTGGCACTTTTTCCACAAATTTGCTAATTAACTTCCTTTTTTTTTTTTTTTTTAATGGCAGAAAACCTACCTGTGCAAATATGTTAGAACTCAACTTTTTTTTCCATAGTACTTAGACAACTGCAGAACAGAAATTTACTCTGAAAAGTTGAAGGATATTCTTCCTGGAAATAGACATTTCCGTGTGTTAGCCAAGGTTATTGTAATAAATTGTGATTTTGTTATCTCCAAAGCTGATATGGCTTGTTTGAACCTTATTTGAGATCTATATGCAGATTTCATTAATAAAATGCAAAGAAATTACATGTTCCTGAACGAGACTTTCACCTCTGTGTTAGTGTCTTGCAACACTATCTCTTAGGGGTTCTTTCCTGATAGGACCCTGATGAAAAGGCCATTGTAGGTCTTAATTTGGCTCGTGTTAAGCACTTTGGTAGGAAGAGTTCTTTTTCTTCTGAGGTGGCCTTCTTTCTGAGTTGATTTGACATTTTCTTGTTTGTAATTTTTAGGCTTGTCTGCTACTACTTTTGTCTGTTATAAAGGGAATTCTATAAAAGACAATTCTAGCAATGATGGTGGCTAAACATGGTTGGTCTTAAATTGAAATACTTTTCAGTGAAAGCTCATAGAGTGTGGTTGTATTCCTATTTAAATCTTTTCTCAGAAAAATGTATTTTGATAGTGATGACCCATAACTGATACTTTTTACATGCATTTATGAAATTTTGCAGGCTGTGTAAGTTACGTTGCTGAAGTCAGGTGATGTCACTGATCTGTCAGAAGTCAATTAGTAAAAGAGCAGCTTCCTTTATGATTTGGAAGCTGATGGTTTATATGCTTTTGACAGCATTGCTGTAAGCTTGATTCTTCTTTTGGGTTCCAAATTTTCGTTTTACTTATGAAGATTTCAGAGTTGTTTAACAGTACTTAACTATGCAGCAGTGAAAGATTTAAATCTTTTTCTTCTTTCATCTGCTTTAGAACACTTTTCTGCAGATGATTAGGGTGTTGTCTTCACTGTACAGTTAAGGATTCCCTTTGTCATTTTTACTGATAATTCCTTAATATTTCAAACTTTAGTGTAATTCCATAAAACTTCCTAGTCTGTAGAGTACTGTGGATTACAGCTTAAAGTGGGTAAAAAACTCTTGGGAACTAGTTTGTCTGTCTTCAGTAGTAGGTGATATGTTGTAGAAAATTCACTTATTTATTAGAAATATAGTCTCATAAAGAAAATGTACTTGCTATGTAGTTTTACCTGGCTGTGAAATTTGTTGTATTCTTTCTCCCGCGCCCCCCGCCTTACTCAGTGTCAGAACTGACTCCTAAGGTGGACTTTGCACATGGAATTTAAAATCCTGTACCAGAAGGATTACTGACAAAAGGAAAATAAATGTCAAAGTCTGTTTTGTGTAACTAACTTTGCTTGTAAGGTGCTGTTGGACGACTTTATATCAGCAGCAGTTTGACTGAAATCTAATCTTCACAGATAATATGAAATGCAGTTATGTTCGTTGTTGTTGTTGTTGTTGTGGTCCCTCATTATTACTTTCACAATTACACTGCTATTGTCTGCCTTCCTCCTTCAGCTGAAGGATAGCAATTGTCATCTTACTGACTTGCTCCATTCTTTTCAATAAGGTGGGAACTACTACTGAGACTACTTAGAATCAATATCTGAACAAGGAGATAAAGTGAATTTAATGCTTGCTGTTTGTTTTATGTTTAAAACCAGAGACTTTTAGATGGAAAACAGTTACAGAAATAACCCATTTGTGCTGTTCATAAGTCATATAGTAAATTGAAAAGTAATACAAATATTTTGCATAAGTGCATGCGAGACAGTGATACTCTAGACATGATCTACCTTTTACTTCCTGTAACTGTCCGTCATTAACTTTGCAGTGCTGATTTTGATTTCTGAGACACTGATGTGTTAGCAAAATGGTGCTGACTTGTTGATAATGCATTATGGAATTTTACTTACTCGGTATTCAAGTGGAAATATATAATGTAAAATTTTTCTTAATTTATTTTTCTTTTGTGACTTGCAGACAGATGCCAGCAGTAAAGCTATATTCTCAAAAGTGATGGTTATAACAAGTAAGTCAGTTGAAATATTTACACTGTCTAAAAAAATAAAAGTTGAAATCTATTGCTTTCTTGCTTTAGATATCATTGGAGATAAGCTAGAAAAAGCACTTTTGTAACAAATGGAATTTGTAACAAGTCACGATAAACATGACGTAACAATACACTTTAAAGAATTAACACAAGTGTAAGCAGAACTACTTCCTTACGGTAAAAACTTTTCAGTCGTGAAGCTTATCACATGACACTTTAGCTGCATCCATTGTGGACTAATTCAAAGCCTAGATGATCTAGGGTGTCTGCTTTAGCACTTATTATAGAATATATATTAACTGATGTTTACTAACCTACTAAACTATCTACTAACTTACCTGTCTTTGAGGTGTTGGTATTGTACATGCTCTTGGGAGAATGCAAAAGAGCTTGGGTTTCGGTAGCAGGGAAGGCATTTTGGAAACTGTAGAATATCTGTGTGACCTGAATTCTCGGCAAATTAAAAACCACCAGACCCAAAGCAGCTGCTCTTGTTCTCCCCAGCCCACCATGCCAATAGTATTAAAAACAGTATGAAGAAGAAAAACTTGCTTTACAATTCTGAAAATCTGTTTTTTAAATCAACCTCTCTTTTTAAAAATGCCAATTGTCCCGGCAAAAAAGATGCTACTTAAGGCTGTGTACGTTTTGGAAAAAATGTGGAGGAAAAACTGAATCTCGCTTCTTGGCCATGTTCCAAATCCTTTTTCCATTTTGTTTGTTATGAACAGTTTGTGATTTTTCTGATTCTTTAGTTCTGGGTTGCGTTAAAAAAAACCCTGCAAAATCAATACAGCAAAACAAATACTGACTAGAACTTGTTTTGAAGTAACTATCCTGTAGTCCTATACTATTTCCTGTGTTAACTTTGCTTAACACCTACTGTACCAAAACCATGGAACATCTTTAGTGTGCTGATACTTTGCCTATAAATTCTCGCTATAATGTAAATGTAAATATAAAAGTAATATGTGGTTTAAGAAATGCATTTTAAAAGCTTTTTTAAGTGTTGCAAGCTGTTGTAAAGCATAGGTTCAGTGAAAGGGTGATTCAGCAAAAATACCCTTTTGATGTTTTTCACACTTGTAATATCAGGTGATCTGTATACAGAGTATATCTGTGGAGTACAGGCTCTGCATTCTGAGGTCAACTTCAGCTGTTAATGTTATTAACAGGTACAACTAGACTTGGTGAAAAATGAATGTGAAGGTTGAGGAAAGCAGATAGCAATAGGGGTTGTCTGTGGGTACACACATTATTAGAAATTTAGAAATGTGAAGGTTTTTTATAACTTAAACACACATAGAAACTTTCCTGGTGTGGCATTTCAATCTTGTGTAATTTGCAATACTGACACATTAAAATAAATAGCGATTTCTTTTGCTTGTTTAAAGGAAACCTTCCTGATCCAGGGAAAGCCCAAGATTTCATGAAAAAGTTCACACAAGTTCTAGAAGATGATGAAAAAATAAGAAGTCAGTTAGAAATGCTTGTTAGCCCCACATGTTCTTGCAAACAGGCTGAAGGATGTGTGGTAAGAGTTGCTCTTAAGTATGTGAATATTTTTGGAGCTGAATTGATTATAAATTTAATTGAAACTTATATTGCAGAGGGAGATAACAAAGAAGTTGGGCAATCCAAAGCAACCAACAAATCCTTTCCTGGAAATGATAAAATTTCTTCTTGAGAGAATTGCTCCTGTGCACATTGATACTGAATCCATCAGGTATTTTTGTGTTTGTGTTGTTGGCAGTAGATCACAAGGTTTGAAATTGAGGTTTCTTATTTTGCCTTTAAGCACAAGCAGAAATGGATTGGGTGGGTGTGGTTTAAGGCCTGGTGACCTGCAGTATTTTCTTCTATTTTCCCTTGCTTAGGGGTTTTTGTGTCCTTGTTCAGAATGTAGCCACAGAAACAATTCAATTGTCATTCAGCACAGCCGGAACAACCTGTCAGTAAAAATGGATCTGTTGCTGATGGGTGAAGTTTGGTTTGTGACAGAGTGCCTTATTTTAAAAGAAATTTCTGTCCATGGCTATTTGCTGAAACTTTCCACCCGGAATGTTAGGTCATAGTGACATAAACAGTAATTTAACTGAGAAAGTAAAAGGTTATGGTAATGAGGCATAGAGACTTTGAGTAAGCTAGTGAAGTTGTGGGAGGGGAAATATGTAATTGGTGAAATGATTGTTTAACAGCTGTATTTGAGATATGTGGTACCTTGTTAGAGAGAACTATTTCTTAATTCTGGTAAATTCTTAGCTGTTAATTCCAACTCTAGTAGTTGACTTATAAGTACTTGAGCTTTGCGGTTTCTGCGTGTCATATGCAATGTAATGGAGCCGTTGAGATTTCACTTAAAATCTGTTTCTGATCTTGGATGAAGTACAGTGTGTAGCTGGATTTTTATTTTAAATTTGAAAATACTTTTTCACATTCACAGAAGTAGTGTAAAATGTATATTTAAAGTAATAGTCATATATGGCACTGAGTTGAGTATTTATTTCACAACCTACTTTCTGACTGCCATGCAGTATACAAGCAAAAAAAAAGTAGTAAAAAGCACATATTCTCATTTTTGCCACAGAATTAGTCGTCTCTGATCTTTGTAAAATTTCACTAAACTTCTGCTTCATTTTTGAGACTCAGACTGTTTGGTTTGGGTTTTTTTTTTGTTTGGCTTTTTTTTTTTTTAATAAATGGTAATTTTTGTCCAATTGGGGGCAGGAAAAAAAAGAAATTGGAAGTCTGACTAGGAAGTCTCTCCCTTGGTTTGTTACCAGTTGCAGGGTATTTTATTTATTTTGGGTGTGTTTTGGTTTGGGATTTTTTTTGTTTGTTTTGGCTGTAAGTATTACTTACAGGATGTACTGAAGGAATATTCTGAATATTGTTCAGTTCTTGATAGGGAAGCTGCCTACACCAGTCACTAATAGGATCATTTAGATAATCCCCATTTCCTTTCCTAGGGTACAGTGTAAGAAAAAAACAAGCATTAGTATCAAGGTGAAATATGCAGGACATGGGTCTTTTAAATTTTTCCTCAACTCTTAGCCCAGCTGTTTAATGTGTTTTGTTTTTTTTTTTTTCCCCCTCTTAATTATAGGCTAAACGTTGTAAACAGTTATTTTGCATCAGTTATTAAGAATTTGTAGCAGCTAGTAACCTCACCATAATTCTTATCTGAATTTGTTGCTTGTAATGTTTAAATTGTTTTGTTATTTTTGTCATCCTTCCAGTGTAATTTGTATATAGTTCTTGATTCATGATGGATAAATGTTTTTGAACTTAATGCCTCATAAGCTTTGATTTAGAGAGATGAGGGCAACCAGATTATGTATGTAGTTGACATATTTGTTTTGTAACAAGCTTAAGCTTTATGATTTAAATAAATTCCTTTAATAAGATTATATCTTAAAATTATGAAAGCAGTCATACATGGTGGAATTGCAGTAAATACAAGGCCATGTTTTGTTTTCCTCTTCAGTGCCCTTATCAAGCAAGTAAACAAGTCTATAGATGGAACAGCTGATGATGAAGATGAGGGTGTACCTACTGACCAGGCAATCAGAGCAGGTCTTGAATTGCTTAAGGCAAGTATACTCATGGTGGTCAGTGAGCATGTGAAACTTTGTGAAGCAACTTTGTTAAAATGAAGTTTTAATTAGCACTTAGTATCTTTAGTCATAAGCATGCAGTGGCTATCTGGAAGACTACTGGTTTGTTTTTTGTTCCCTATGCTCATCTTATGTGGCACATAATATTTATTTTATAAATCATTTAGAAGTTTTTCTGGAAGTCAAAAGTAGTTGCATGGGTGACATCAGCAGGTGAGTTTAGAGTATTAGAGTGTGAATTCAGTGGTTTGTGAATATAGTTACACTACTTTTGGAACTGTACTTGTATATCATCAGTAAAATACTGTGATTCCTTTGAGTTCTTCATAAATTGGTGTCTTATCTATCTCAACTGTGACTCAGTTAACATAGTAAAACCCTATCAAGATGCAGTTCTGGGGACATTGTACAAAATGTCTTAGTCTGTCCTCCCTCTTTCCTAGGAGGAAAAGGGCTGATCACTGTGTTATTTACAAGTACTGTTAAAAGCCTGAAACTTTTAAAATGCCAACTGCGTAGGGCTTTTTGTTTCACTTGGTCTCTCTCAAAGACTTTAGGCTAAAAGCACTATGTAGTGTCAGCATTGCCTGAACTTGCACAGAAAGGTACTTGTGCCATGGTACCAACTCAGTTGCATGATAGTGTTGGGAGTAGTCCAGCTGTTGGTTGACTTCAGCCAGCTTCCCTGGCTCCAAGTCAGACCCACCTCTGACCAAGGCTGAGCTAATCAGCTACAGTGGTAGTGCTTCTGTGATAACATATTTAAGAAAGGGGGAAAAAAAGAAACTGCTGGAAAACCTGCAGTGGAGAGAGGAATGGAACGTGAGAGAAACACCTACTCAGACACCCAGGTCAGTGAAGGAGAAGGGAGAGGAGGTGTACCAGAGCAGAGATTCCCCTGCAGCCTGTGGTGAGATGGTGGGCTGACACTCTGCAGCCTGTGGATGTTAATGGTAGAGCAGAGATCCACCTGCAGCCTGTGGAGGACCACATGCTGGAGCAGCTGGCTGTGCCCGAAGAAGGCTGTAACTCTGTGGGAAACCCACACTGGAGCAGTCTGTTTCTGAAGGACTGTGCCCTGTGGAAGGGACCCACACTGGAGCAGTTTGTGAAGAACTGCAGCCTGTGGGAAGGACTCACGTTGGAGAAGTTCATGCAGGACTGTCTCCCATGGGAGGGACCCCCATGCTGGAGATGGGGAAGAGTGTGAGGAGTCCTCCCCTGAGGGGGAAGGAGCTGCAGAAACAGTGTGTGATGAACTGCTTGCAACCCCCATTCCCCATCTTGCTGTGCTGCTCTGGGGGAGGAGGTGGAGAAATTAGGAGCAAAGTTGAGCCCAGGAAGAAGGGAGGGGTGAGGGGAAGGAGGTTTTAAGATTTGGCTTTATTTCTCATTATCTTACTCTGATTTGATTGGTAACAAATTAAATTGATTTTTTTCCCCCAAGTCAAGTCTGTTTTGCCAGTGACCATAATTGGTGAGTGATTCCTCCCTGTCTTTGTCTCAGCCCACGAGCCTTTCCTTGTATTTTCTCCTCCCCATCCCACCAGGGTGGTGAGGAGTGAGCAAGCAGCCACATGGTGTTTTGTTGCCAGCTGGGTTTAAGTGACAACACCCTGATGTGTGAATATTGTTTCAGTAGCATCAGTTGTGTTTTTCTTAAGACCTGCTTCTGCTGTAACCCAGTATTTGCTAATGTAGATGTAGCCACTGAGAAGTAAATGTTTACTATAATGGGAGAAGAAATTGAGACTGGAGAAATAAGTTAAAAATTATGAGATTGTGTATAAAGACAGAGAAGTTAAGTAGGTACTAAAAAAAAAGTCAGAAAGAGAAATGTGGATCCCATGACAAAACCAGACAGTGTGTTATAAATATTCCAGTATGGCAGTGGAAAATGACTCTTGATGGAATATTCTATATAAGTGGACCTTTAAAAAAATATTAACATGGCTTTCATCTTATTTTGGCAGGTACTTTCATTTACGCACCCTATCTCATTTCATTCAGCTGAAACTTTTGAGTCTCTCCTGGCTTGCTTGAAAATGGATGATGAAAAAGTGGCAGAAGCTGCATTACAAATTTTCAAAAATACAGGAAGTAAAATTGAAGAAGACTTTCCTCATATACGATCGTAAGTTGTGTATCTTACTCTGAGTAGTATTCTTTACTGTATGGAATTTGGGAAGTTTACGTTCTTCCTTTTGTATGCTATACCATTATCCTGCATTCTTTTGGAAGAAAGTATTACTTCAGGTAAAACAGCAAAGAGATTTTAATTGACTTTAAAAGGCAGTGCTTTTTGAAGAATGGAAGTGAAATGGGCTGATACGTCACTGATACTACTATAATTTTTATCATTCCCTTTCAGAATGACTTACGTTTTTTCCTAAATTAAATATATGGCAATGTAAAAACATTCTTTGCAATTTAATGGGGATATGCAGACATAAAGAATATTTCCAAAAGTGCCTTTAGTAACTTGTGCAGATAAAATGTTTGTTTTACCACATGATATTTTATCAACACCACCCAGGGATCTTTTTTACTTGCAAGCCATGTAAATAACCCTTTTTTCTTTCTTTGAAGAAATTGCCAAAACCAGTACAATTAGCGCTTTTGCAGAGGCTTTGTCTTCTAGATAAGGTTATCTATACTTTTTTGCTAGTTTGATACTTTGGAAGATTTTGAATTTGTGAAAAGGTATTTATCTCTTTTTTTTTTGAAGTGCTTTGCTTCCAGTGTTGCATCATAAAGCTAAAAAGGGACCCCCTCGTCAAGCCAAGTATGCTATTCATTGCATCCATGCAATATTTTCCAGCAAAGAAACCCAGTTTGCACAGATATTTGAGGTAAAATCAAAATATTTAAGTTCACTTTTATTAATCTTTCATGTTGCATATGTACTAAGAGATGTAGTGGCGATTTATATGGTAAGTTGTATCAAATTTAGAAAAGACGTTTTTCCCCTTTCACTTTGTCCTCACACAGTTTGGCCTGAAAAATGGTAGCAGAGGGTGTTCTTGTAGTCCATTATGTTTAGGGTTATGTATTTTAACAGATGATGGAATAAAACAAGTGTTGAGATGTCTGCTAGAACCTTGAACTATTTATGGAAAGAGGAACCATACACTACTCCTCAGCCCTGTTGGGACTGGCCCAAAGTATTTAAATGGTTACAGAAATTATGGAAAACTGAATTAATGTAGAGACCATTTAAATAATTTTATAGTTGTAACTGTAAAAATTAAGAAGTTATATACTTTTTAATTAGTGCCCATCAGCCTTTTATCTTGAAGGCTGAATCAGTCTGTTACTGAAATTGCCACCTTGAGATGTAGTATGACCACTTCTTCAGCAACAAAATATGCTTTTTAATCCATTGTATCCTAAATGGTTCCCTGCTTGAGCTGCCACTTTGAACTACTCAGATGTAGTAAACATTTTATCTGTTGTTTTGCTTTTTCTTTTGATATGTAGGAGACTTGTAGAGTTGGTGGATGTGTCTTTAAGTAGTTCTTTTAAAATTGTATTTCTGAAGTAGAAATAGACATGGACAACTTGGTATAGAACTCAACCCCTTCCCCTCAATAAGAGACAGATTATATCAGTAATACCTGAATTTGTTGCCTTTATTCTAGCCACTGCATAAAAGTCTGGATCCAAGCAATTTTGAGCATCTCATTACGCCGTTGGTTACTATTGGCCATATAGCCATGCTAGCACCAGATCAGTTTGCTGCTCCCTTGAAATCTTTGGTTGCCACTTTTATTGTTAAAGATTTGCTAATGAATGATAGGGTAAGTATTTTTAAAACCTCGTATTAAGATTCTGCTTCTCCTGTAGTATGATACTTGGCAAGTACTCGTGAAAATTTTTGGCCTGTTGGTTCTACTTTTTGTATATGGTTGTCTTTGATTTCCACATGTACTGTTTGACTCTATTGAAAACCCACAGTACCTGAAAGGAGATAGTACTAATTTGACAGTCCTTACAGCATCGACAAGCTGCATAGCACAGCATTTGATCACTCATTACTTGCCTTTTGTTAAAAATGGGAAAATTGGTATTGGCTGCACTCAGTATCTTGTCTTGAGCAAGCAAGTTGTGTTTTTTGGTTTTTTTTTTTTTTTTTTAAGGCAGTATAACAAATTTGAAACTTAAATACACTGTTTAAATGGAAGACTGTGAATTTTCATTTTTCTAATACTTCTGTATTGATAGTGATTATAAAGTGGAAAAAAAAAAGAACTTGTGCATTGTCAGCCATCGTTGAGGGAAAGACTTACTATCTAAAACTATGCGCTTGAGGTTCCCATTACTGGATTTGGGGACTGGAAATTATTTTCAAAGCAATGGCTATTACACTCTAAAGCAATAGTTTTCAGGTAACAACCCCCTTTACTGCTGTTAAATTTGCTGATACTTGAATATTGAGATAATAATGGTATCTCACTTCTGTAATGGTTACTTCCATGAAATACAGAAGGCATGAAGCTAACCAGTGAGTGTTACTGTATTGTTTTCAGAAGCAAGCAGGAAAGACGAGATTAAAGCAGGTTTCACTGAAGAGTAACAGTAGTGTAACAAAATGTAACATTTGGTTTAGCTTCCAGGTAAAAAGACAACAAAACTTTGGGTCCCGGATGAAGAAGTGTCTCCTGAAACGCTTGTTAAAGTAAGTAGCACTTACTGTATTTTCCTATAATTGTGTGTATAGTGCTTAATAAAGAAAGCTAAGTATCTGGATTCCTAAAGCTGTCAACTGCTTTTCTCTGTTTCCTTGTTGCCTTTCTAAAAGTAAGAAAAGAAGTAACTGTTTTTAAATTGAGGATCTTACCAGAATACATGTTTTTTGATTGCCAGAAGGAAGGAATTTGCTTTTGAGAGCACCTGCGTTTTTAATTTTTGTAAATAAATTTACATACACACTTAATTGAATTTTTATTATAGCTTTTTATAGGCTTAAGTTTGATGTGCAGCATTTAAGTATTCCAGATATTAGCACAGTTAAGTAAAATTTGTTTGTTTTTTTTTTTCCTGTCCTGTTTAACATCGGTGTTAAATACCATAGAGACTTTGTTTCAAGTCTTTCCTTTTTCTTTTGAATTTTTAGGACATTCCAAGAAACTTTCAGTGTTGTTTTGGAATAAATCAAAAATTGGTTTTGGATTTGTCAGTTTCCTTAAATGAATTAATGTATTACATTGCTTATCTCTGTGTACATTGTATATTGGAGAAAAACCTAGGTTTCAAAAAAAAAAAAAAAATCACTTCAAAATGGTGGGGGTTTTGTTGGCAGTTTTTTACTTAAAAAATATCATCTCAAACTTGTTCTTTTTTGGAGTAAGTTTATTACATTTTTCTGGGCTTGGTAATAGATACTCTTACTCAGTTTTTCACTCAATCAGAAATAGAATTGTACTGGGGAAAACACATCTTATGTCCATATTTGTTTTTTAAATGCCCTTTCTTCAGAACAGAGGGACAGATTATGCTTTTACATTTTCTTTCAGAATTAGGAAGATGCATGTACTTTGTAGCATGCTGGTTTTAAGTTAATTATATCAGTCATTTAATTTCCAGTGCCTTTTTAATAAAGTTGCTCTGATGGTTTTCAAAAATTCTTTGCCTTCTGTCTTGAAGCTGTTAAATTCTTTATAGCATACCTCCTTCTCTGCTGGTTTAGTAAGTACTTTGGTTTCCAGCTTGGTACAGAACTCATTACTGGAAATGCTCAGTTGTGTTTGGAGTTGATTTGTTGGCTTTTTATTAGTTTGACTGCAGCAAGGATTTTTTTCATATTTGTGCAATTCCATAGTTACACAGTACACTCCAAAAACTGTTAAAAGAATGCATGTTTGTTTTGATTTCGTGAGTGGCTAGTTTAAAATAGACATTATTTCACTTCGATGATTACATGTGTAGTAAAAATTAATTGTTTTTGTTAATTTTTTTCAATGATTTGTGAAGCTGTAATATCTCTCTAAAATGTGTTTTTTTATGTCGATAAAGCTCTTTCTGCAATTGGCTGTTTGGAAGGGAATTGGCTTATAGAAAATCTTAAGGCAATTTGAAGTTCAAGCCAAGCCTGAAAACTGCAAGAAGCTTTATTGGCAAATGAAAACAGATTATTGTGAAAATTGATTTGCAAATTTAATTAGCATTTATTACCACTGAGAAGCCTATATTTAATGAATGCTGCAGGCCACACCATTAGTTTAGAAATAATTTCTTTCTGACTGTGTATTTTTCTTCACTCTGGTTTTAAAAGCCTCTTTCTCCCTTTGTAACATAACTGCATAATGTATCTAATGGGGATCTTAAAGCTAGCAAGTTTAAGTATGAAAGGGGAAAGGACAGATGAAGTCAAAATTGAAGTATCATCCAGCCTAACGGGTGTAAACTGATAAAGGCTAGCCTTAGTTTTGGATCTTAAACCTTAAATGAAATGATGTCAGTAGAGACATATTTCAGTACAGTATTAAATATGAATCGTTTAATTATTGTTTGAGTTAGACTTGAATTCCTATGCCTGGCACATGAGTATCTTCTCTGAAGCAGTAATCTCTCTTGACAGTGACCAGTACTGAATACTTCTATGCACCATGCTGTGGATTGAGACTTATGTAGTAGCAGTGATATTTCTTGTTTCCTTCTATGTACACTGCAATATAAGTTTTTTCATCCTGTTTCTCTAACTGTGCTTTAACTGAGCGTTGTTTCATTTTTCACTGCTGCAAAAACCTGCAGCATTTGTGGCTCTGAAAACTCAAGTAGTAGAAACCTGAGCTAGCTGTTGTCACAATGTTGATGTAGTAGGAAGGCAGTGTTTTTAGGATCTATGCATCAGATGGAAGCACATGATATACCTTTACAATGGAGGCATGATGCTATTCTCTAGATCAGAGAAAACAGTTATAAATGTTGATTATTTTTAATTGTTAACTTTAAACTTAAAAATTAATACTTATTCACTACTGACAGTTATGTAAAGCTAGTGTTTACCTGCAGTTTTATCATATCAGAGACCTGTCAAGTTATATTCACTATCTCGGAAAGAAATGATGACATCCTATCACTTTTGCTTGCGCTTCGAATACACGTAGTTCATGTTGTGCTGCTAAGACGAGTACAAAGCAGTCATTTGTGGCCTTTGATATGGTTCTGACTCATGTTGTATTTTGACTTTCTTAGTATTTTCGTGTTGTGTATAATAATTTTTAATCTCGGAGGAGAATTCTAGGCCAGGCTAATGGGACATAAATTGAAAGAAGAGGTTCAGACTGAATATAAGGAAGAAAAATGAGAACAGGTTGCAAGAGGTTGCGGGTTGCCAAGAGCCTGTGCAGTCTCCGTTCTTGGAGGCTTTCAAGACCAAAAAGTATAAAATGGAGACCAATGTGGTCTGACTCCATAGCTGACCTTCCTTTGAGCAGGGAATTGGACTGGAGACCTCCTGACACTCCTTCCAACTGGTATTATCCTTTGATAGTTATCCTATTTGCCTGTAAAGAAAAAATGTAAAATATGAGGGCAGTGCAAAGTTATGTCATGTTTGTCTTCAGGTAGCCAGAAGCAGTGACTGGGGGAATTCTCATGCCCTGTATTAATTTTATGGGAATGCTTAATTCTGAAGGGTTGCTGGAATGTCATCACAACATCATGAACACCAGCAAAGAAACAGAGAGCATAGTGGGGTCAGAGGAATATTCTGAAGGAGCTGGGATTAGGATTTGCCTACATGGAAGGAAGACTACAGTAGATTCTGACAGTAAAACTGGGGGAGAGGAATTGTGGAGGGGGAAGAGAGAAGCAAAAGTTAAAACTGAAATTGCTCAAGAGCTGACCAGAGATGCCTGGGCAGAAGATAGCATGTGGCTGTTCCCTGGCTGAATATGTCATTTACTTGAAGACCAAATACAGCTAGCGTGTTTCCATCCTACCAACAAATGGGATGAACCAGTGGTTACAGGTGCTAGTTATGACACCAAACTGAGTTGGTAAGCTGTCAAAAGATCTGCTGCTGCTATAATTATTATTAATACATTGTTTTTATTATTATTGTTTTTATTGCTATTAAAAATCTTCTGGTGTATATTTATAGCTGTTTCAGTAGAAGACCCTTTGTAAGCTAGGGCAAGACAATTTCATTTCTGTTCTGTTTCACAAACTCCATTTGCATTGGCAGACATCCTACCTCTTGGTGGTGTTACCCAACAGAATTAGAATTCTGTAGGTGGAGTAATGGGCTACTGTGCTAAAAAATACAGTCATGTATAGATGACAATCCTAGAACTTAGATCTGAAGGGACCATTGTGATCAGTTTGTTACATGGAATGGATCAATCATATGATGCATTTCATTTAGTGATATTGTGAATGTTTATGTAAAAGTTAGTAGAACTACCTTTCACATTAAGGACAAAATTTGAAGTTACCATGTACAAAAAGTGTCTTAGTGTTTCTAAAGCTTTTGTGTTTTGTGTTTTGAACTTCAGCGCTTGGTGTTTTGGTCTGTTTGGTTTTGTTGTTTTTCTTTTATCCCAAGGATGTCTACATGATTCAGATAAGCATTTTCATTTTGCTGTAAGAGGATACTCCTCTTTCTCTTCTCTGTCATCTTGTGCCCTCATATAGAAGGAAAATGAAAGGACAAAGGAATTCAAATACTAAAATGAACTTAACCTTCAAATTCATGCTTTATTTTCACTAAAGAAATGTGAAATTACTCAGCGTTTCATTTAGCTGCTGGATTCTGCATACTTTTAGAAGGTTGCCTCAAAACACTTGATTTTTCTGTTGGCAAAAGACAAGTTATCCTGAGTAACAGTATTTTCTTCAAATACCCATGAAAGAAATACTCTTTTCCAGGACAAGTTACCTTAATACAGGTTGATGCAGTCAAAATGTCTATGAAGTGTTTTTTAATTTATATGTCTTAAATTTAAACTCAAGTATTACATATGTAAATAATGAATATGTAGGGATTGTTTAAGCACAGGAATTATAGGAATGTAGGAAAATGAAAATATGTTCTGTGTTCTGATCCAGTAACATTTTCTTAGTAAGTATAAATTGTTTAGCCTATTCCACAGTGTTTAGTGGATGTAAGCTCAATTAAGAAAATATTTTCACAGGACAAAATATGCGATTGCTTAGTAGAAGAAACAGTTCAAACTTTAACTAAATGTTGTATAATTTTTATTTGCTGTAATAAATGTTTGAGACTTTCAGTGAAAAGTTGAATGCGTCTAGTTATCTTTAAGTATTTAAATGATGTTTTGCAGCCTTGACAGACATGTTTGTAGGAGCAAAAATTATTTGGGAAAATACTGTAATTAAATTAAGATGAAGATTATTTTAAAAATTAGGATGATGGTGTGATTTGGCTTTAGCATATCAACTTTTTTTTCAGATTCAGGCCATCAAGATGATGGTTCGATGGTTGCTAGGAATGAAGAACAACCACAGCAAGTCAGGAACTTCTACTCTGAGGTTGCTAACAACAATATTACACAGTGATGGGGATTTAACAGAGCAAGGGAAAATTAGGTATGTAACAGGCCATAATGTTTTGATGTCTGTGGCGAAGTGGGGAGAGTTTTAGTCAAAGTAGTACTTAAACTATTCTGTTAGGTTGCTTAACAATTTATACATCTTATTTTGTAAGAACTGATGGTAAGCTTGGCTGGATTCCTTCATAGGTTTGCTGAGTCTCAGGTATTTTAAAAAACACTGTAGATATAGCTGTATTTTAATGGGTTTATCTTCTTTCTTTTATCTCTTTCTTCAAAGACCCATTACTCATATTGCAAGAATAAACTAACTTCCTCTTTCCCATTGAAAATTGGTTTTAATTATTAATGCAGCTTGCTCCTCTTGATGTACCAATTGTCATGTATGTCAAAGGCCGACAGGCAGCCCTTCTAATAAAAAATAATAGCGAGTTGCAGTAAACCAGTTGGGAATGGCTAGTACATAAGGCATTTCTGCTTGAAGGCAGACTTTAATCCCTTGAGGCCTCTGAAAGTGAAAGGAAAAGGGAAATGTGTAAAGAAGATTAAGTCTCTAAATAATTTATCTTTTAGGTGATTGTTAGACAACTTACTTGTTTTTCTGGGTATCTTCTTAATCCTCTGCGGTTGGAGAAGTGACAAGTTGTCAGCTGCTATTGCTTGCCAAACATTGAAAATTTATGTCTACAAGAGCCATTAAGGGCATGGGTGGATTGTGCAGTATGAGTAAAAAGGTTTTAATTTTCAGGTAGAGTTTAATGTTATACAGTGATTATGCAAATAGAACCTATATTGTGTGTGCAAAATTACAAGCCTGAGAACTGTCTAGTGTGTTATCTTTGTAGCAATTGTCTAGTCTTTCTCAAATCTCCTTGTAAATAATTGTTTCATTGTTTTAAATTCTGTAATATGACCATTCATGCCAGTTACTAGGGAGTTAAGTGGCAGTAATTTAGCTTTTCAGCATAACTGCTTAGATGATATTGTTGGTTTATCCAGTAGTTTGTGAATAGATCACAAACTGTTGTTCTGTAGATCCTGTGTGTTTTCATGCTTGGAGTGATGATTCCTTACTGTCTATGTTTTAGAAATCTAATTTTCTCACTGTTTTTGTACTCAAAATTATAAATGGTAGTAGAAACTGTATATAATGATGTAGTTGTCATTAAAGTTAATGGAGGGCTGGGGATACTTTTAGGGCAGGAAGAATGCTGCAGTGACATGAGGTTGGTCTTCAACACCAGAACTTGGAGCTCTGCCTGAGGATGGATGAGCCAACTGAGACCTTACGGGTTAGAATTAAAGAGCAGACTGGTATGGGTGACATTGTAGTGGATGTCTGCTGTACGCCTCCTGATTGGGAAGAAGTAGTGGATGAGGTCTTCTATAAATAGCTAGAAACAACTTCATGCTCACAGGCCTTGGTCCTCATGGAAGACTTCAAGCACTCCAATATTTCCTGGAGGAGCAACACGGCAGCACATAAACAATCCAGGTTCTTCCTGCATCAATGACAACTTCCTGACACAAGTGATAGAGGAGCCAATGAGGAGAGGTGCTCTGCTCGACCTCATACTCGCCAACAAGGAGGGACTTGTTGGGTGTAACAAAGTTGAAGATAGCCTTGGCTGTAATGATCATAGGATTCTAAAGTCCACTATCTTGAGGGCAGCAAGGAGGGCAAAAAGCAAGATCACAGTGCTGGATTTCAGGAGAATGGACTTGGGCCTCTTCAAGGATCTGCTTAGTAGAGTCCCATTGGATAAGGCCCTGGAGGGAAGAAGTGCCCATGAAAGCTAGTTAGTTAGTATTAAAGCATCATCTCCTCTAAGCTCATGTGTGGTCACAGCAGAAGGTCAGGCAAATATTTCAGCAGACCTGCTTGGATAAGCACGGAGCTCCTGGCAGAACTCAAACACAAAAGAAGGGATTGGGAGCGGCCCTGCAGAAAAGGACTTGGGAGTACTGGCGGATGAAAAGATGGATATAAGCTGATAATATGCACTTGCAGCCCAGAAAGCCAACTATATCCTGGGCTGACCAAGTGTGGCCAGCAGGTCAAGGGAGGTGATTCTCCCCCTCAACTCTGCTCTGGTGAGACTCCACCTGCAGCTCTGGGGCCCAAGCATAAGACAGACATGGACCTGTTGGAGCTGGGTCCAGAGGAGGGCCATGAAGATGATCAGAGGGATGGAATACCTCTTCTCTGAGAAAAGGCTGAGAGAGTTGGGGTTGTTCAGCCTAGAGAAGAGAAGGCTCCGGGGAGACCTTATAGTGGCCTTCCAGTACTTAAAAGGGGCCTGTAAGAAAGAAGGGGGCAGACTTTTTACAAGGGCCTGTAGCAATAGAACAAGGAGCAATGGTTTTAACTGAAAGATGGTAGATTTGGATTAGATATTAGGAAGAAGTTCTTCACCATGAGGGTGGTGAGACACTGGCACAGGTTGCCAAGAGAAGTTGTGGCTGCCCCTTCCCTGGCAGTGTTCAAGGCCCAGTTGGATGGGGCTTTGAGCAACCTGGTCTAGTAGAAGGTGTCCCTGCCCATAGCAGGGGGGTTGGAGCTAGATGATCTTTAAGGTCCCTTCCAATGCAAACTATTCTATGTTTCTGTGGGGCATACAGAAAGTGGAAGTAGGGACAGGTAACCTGGCAGGAATACAGAGGACACCATCTCTGTAGGTTAGGAAAGCCAAAGTCCAACTGGAATTGAATCTAGTGAGGGATGACAAAGGCAACCAGAAGAGCTTCTTTAAGTAAATAGGTGGCAAAAGAAAGGCTAGGGAAATGTTGCATCTGCTGCTGAATGAAGCAAGAGCCCTGGTGACACAGGACACGGAAAAGGTTAGCGTACTGAATACTTTCTTTGCCTCAGTCTTTACTAGCAAAATGAGCCTTCAGGAGACCAGGGGAAGGTCTGAAGCAAGAAAGATATACCCTTGGGGGAGGAAGATCAGGTTAGAGAATACTTAAGCAAACTGGACATGCATGAGTCCATGGTCGTTGATGGGATGCACCTATGAGTGCTGAGGGAGCTGACAGATGTCATTGTGAGGCCACTCTTGAGCCTCTTTGAATGAGGAAGCTGATTGGTAGAGGTGGCTGAAGACTGGAGGAAAGCACATGTCTCTCCTATCTTCAAAAATGACAGGAAGGAGGACCCAGAGAGCTTAACTACAAGCCAGTCGGCCTCACCTCAATCCCTGAGAAGGTGATGGAACACCTGGGCTCCCCAGTACAAGAAAGATGTGGAGCTACTGGAATGACCCCACCGTAGGCCCACAAAGATGCTTAAGGGATTGAAGCATCTGATGGATGAGGAAAGGCTGAGAGAGCTGTGACAGTTCAGCCTTGGGAAGAAAAGGCTCAGTGGGGATGTCATCAATGTGTATAACTGAATGGAGGGTGTAAAGAAAATGCAGTTGGACTCTTAGTGGTGTTCAATGACAGAGGCAATGGGCACAAACTGAAGTACAGGAGGTTCTGTCTGAACACAGGGAAACACTTTTTCCCTGTGAAGGGTGACTGAGCACTGGCACAGGTTGTCCAGAGAGGTAGTGGAATTTCTGTCCTTGTAGGTACTAAAAAGTCATCTGGACACTGTCTTGGGCAGCTGGCTCTAGGTGACCCTGCTTGAGCAGAGGGGTTGAGCTAGATGACTTCCAGAGGTGCCTTCCAATTGTAATTATTCTGATTCACAGTATTGCATTTTGAGAAAGCTCTAAGCTGCAAGGAGGGCAGGTCTCCATTGTCTCTGTTTGTGAGAGCTATACCACCTATGCTAACAAGTACTCTCAAAACGTGAAGCAGGGGAGGTGATGTTTCAGGCACATTAGTTCTGCATGGAGCTTGCTGGTATCGTGCTGAAGCTTCCTGACCTTTATTCTTCACCCTTTGAGAAAGCAATAAGGATATCTTCTTTCTGACAGTGCTTACTGTGTCCCTGTTATGCAAACCTAACACTACTTCTTCCAAATTAGAGTAGGCTTTGGAAACAGTAAAATTGTCTGTTCAGTATGGAACATAATCTTTTAAACTGTACTTGATCTGATGTCACTCTACATAGAGTCAATTTTTGTGTTCATGGCTTGCATTTTTCTTTTAAACAATGTATAACTTGCTAAAAATAGAGTCAACTGAAGGTGGCAGGATTCAGGAGACATCTGACCTCATGTAGGCCGTTAGTTGTGTTGTAATTATCTTGGTGTTACTGTCCTCATCAGCCATAAAAATGACACTGTCCCCGTGCCTCTTTAAAAATCTATGCAGTGACAAGTGTAAGGGAATGGGATTTTTTAAATTTCAAAGCACTGTTCAGCCTGGAGCGTCAGGTGAAGGCAAGGTCAAAAAAAGGTTTATTTGGAAAACAAATAAACAAATCCCTGCTTTTGTTCATCCTTCTCACTTTGAAGTAGTACGATTGACTTGTTGAATTGCTTTTAAGACAACAACTGATTGCTTTGAGATGTTAGCATATGTAGGTTAATTTCACCAGTGTCAGATTGTTTTAATATTGAATTTTGTCAGAAAACAAGATCTCAACCATCCTTTCCAGGTCTTTATTTTTCATTTTTTAAGTCATAAACAGTCCTACAAATTTAAAATTCAGGATTATACTTATTTTCTATTTGTGGTTAGGTGAAACATCTAAGTTGAATCTTGCATATCTTTGTAGTAAGATTTTAATCTAACTAAGCATAAAATAAGAGTATTTCAGTATCAGAGGACACTAGCTGTTGCTGGAAGTATTGATATTAGATATGAACCTGAATTGAGATTCTTCTCAAATGCTAACTGCATTTTCCTTACTGAAGCTGACCAAGAGAAAAATTACTTAAACTGTATAGTTCTGTGCTATAGATAATTTGCTGCACCATCTGATATGCAACATTTTCAGCGGTTGTATTCAAAACATACTTTTTATTCTGTGGGACATGGAAAATGCTTAGAAAATTGGACACTGGCCATTTATCCTCTGGAGTAGAATTAAAAATCTTAACTGCTAGTTTGTAAAGCGAGAGAAGATGATCATGCACCAGATAAGTTTTCAAGATATATTTATTTAGATTATCTTTGTGCAGCCCACCACCTTAATTAAGACTGTGTTTTGCACTCGATAACATCTTTCCATGTGGTTGCACTTCAGTTCTCATTTCAAATGTTTGCAGTGATAGCACTTCAGAAAACAGATGTCCAGGTCCCTTTTCTGTCTCTTAGTTTCTGATAGGACAAGGGCATCCCTGGTACTAATTTTCAAAATTATTAGAAGTAATCAAAAACTGCAGTTGTATCATACAGAAGCTTTTATTTCAGCCTCAATAACTGTGTGTTTTGGGACAATGCAGGTCAGAAAGCTTTTGGCTGTAACAATTTGATCAAAAATAAGTTCTCAATTAAGACTTTCTTCTAAGATAATCCTTTGGGGAATAAAGCAGATCTTACTTTCATCTTCAGCTGTAAGAATGATACGCACAACTGACACTGTCCTTTCTTCCCACAGTGTGCACACATGCTTGTGGGTATTTCTGTGATAAGTATGCTCTGTAAGGATTTGGCCAACTTTTATGTGAAATATCTTTGATTCAATTTTCAGAATTAAATGTTATCACTACCAAAGCTGAGGAAGATTGAAAGTTCTTAATTTTACCCTTTCCTTTGGCTCATTCATTCTGTACTTGTAAGTCGTTATTGCTCAGTTGTCATTGAAGGGCAAAAATTCAATTTTTATTGGGTTCACTTATTACAGTAGATGCAATTTAAAGTGAAATTTAGCATTGAGAATTAGACGTTATCACGTTAATCTTCATGACTTGTTTGAAAGTTAGTACAGCTTTTGTCCTGTCACTTGGTTGCTCATGATTTGTTTTTTTTTTAAATGTTGTGGTTTCCATAAAATACTGAGGTATGTATAAAGCCTAATCAGAGAAATATTAAGGTTTAAGCTCTTTAGCAGGTTTTTATCATGCACTCTGTGTTTAATAATACCTTTTTATCTCATTCTTTAAATTATCTATACAGTTTTCATGACAATGGATTTAAGACTACAGTGTTTGATCTTCCTAAGGTTAAAGGGCAAATGATTAAGAAGTTAAGCAATGTTTGTCCTGCTTAAATGAATAATTATTTCTAAATAAGAATAGGACTTGATTCCTGCTCCAAGTTATCAAAGGAAAAAGCTGATTATTCTGAATACTGATACGGCTGATACCACTTCTGAATAGATTTCATTAGTGTTTTAAGTGAGATGCATAAAATTTCTTAATTTGTTTGATCTGAAGAAAGGCAGAAGTAATATACTTTGCTGAAATAAATTTTCTAAGAAAGTAAAGCTCAACTAAGTTTATTGATACACCCATTGAGTGGATATCACCTTACAAAGCTCATGTGAAGATGCTTTTAGTATTCTGATAACCTTTTTAAATATGATTGTAGGTTACAGAAAAACCCATTCATCTTTTGATAAGAAAATTAGCAAGCAGTTGGAATGTTTTGTTAGGTGGGAGTGCAGTTTGGGTGTGCAAGTCAGCATGTTGAAAACTTTTTCACTTGCTAAATCCTTTTTTGCTATTGTCTTAAAAATACCATTCAGTTAGTCACCTGTCATAATACCTAATTAATCTCAAGTTATGTTGACTTGCAGCATGGATTTTGAGCTATCATTACTAGAAAAAGTTTGGCAACTTTGGGGACTAGAAGTTGGTAGCTACTTTGGCAGGAGCCCCTTGCTGAAGGAAAACGAGCACGCTGAATAGAAGTATCTTACAGGCTAAATGAGGTGTCTCAGGGGCTATTTGGACTGTGCTGGTCCAGTACACAGCTAAAATGTTTCACACCCATGTGGAACTTCTAGGAAGTTCCAAAGAATATTTTCGTTGCTGAGTTGGGGCAAGGTAATGGGTATGTGGTAACAGGCTATAAAATGTGGTGACATGGAAACTACTTTTGGTTTACAGTTACTTCTGCTGTTAATTTGGTGGGGTGGGGACAGCAAAGTCCATGGAAACTTTTCCTTCTTTTTAAAGTACCTGTTTTCGGCAAATTTCTTGGGATTTAAGTCAAACAATTACATGATTTTTTTATTAATTAACTTTTATAATCCATGTGCTTGTTTTTCAGTAAACCTGATATGTCTCGGTTGAGGCTGGCTGCAGGGAATGCTATTGTGAAGTTGGCACAAGAACCTTGTTACCATGAAATCATCACCTTAGAACAATACCAGCTGTGTGCACTAGCCATAAATGTAAGGAAATCAGGCGGGACTTCTGGGTTATTAGCAAATGTATGAGTATATATGTTGTTTATTCTCTATGTTATGTATACTTCTGCTAATCTGATTTTATGCAAAACATCCAGCTTTGGCATGAATTTATTTTCCCACTATATAATCCTGAAAACTGATTTTGGATGAGAATTAGATCTATAGTACTGGGCTGCCCAGTGGAGGAACGCAAACTTAAAGTAGTGAAATGTTAGAATATTGATAAACCAAGGAATTCAGTATTGATTTAAAGTAATACCCCAGCCACATTATGACGTTATTAGAGATTGAAATGAGACCACGTAACGTATGTTGGACTTGGTGACAACAGTGACCTTGGTTTCTTGATACTTGGGTAGAATATATTTGGAATGCAGAGGTGTGCAAAGATAGTTGGCATCCTTTAAATATTGAAAGAGGTGGGGAGAGATTTCTCATTAGATGTTGGAATTTTCATCCTTAATTTCTGCCTGTGAGCCCAAAGTAGCAGAAAGGAAGTAAATTTCAAAATGTAAGTAGAGGTATAGAGATCCTCTGTGTTCTTGTCTTGTAGACTTAGCAAATTCTACAGAAATTGATTCACACTCCAAGCATAAGGTGATCATGGAGGGACTCGTGTTGGTGTTACTTGTGTAACTGCTGGTATTCTCGTGACTTTACAAAAGGAAAGAAATCCTCTGGAAGGAATCCATTCTAGAAGATATCTGCAATAATAATGATATTCCATTCTAGACCTTAATTCCTGTGACTGCCTAAAGCTTTAAAAGCTGCAAGCCATTTTAAATGTCAGAAGACTTAAAGTTGGCATTTAATATTAAAAAATACAAATTATAGCTCCTGTGTGGATGTATTCTATTTTCATATAGAGTATCTTTTTCAGTTCTTAAGTTGTTTGGAGTTGGGTACAGTTAGGCTAGAAAAATCATTCATATGCGAGTAAGACAGTCTGTATTAGGCTAGTATTTTTTTTTTTTAACAGTGTTTATGTGGATTTTAGGCTTTTGTGTTCCTATGGAAAGGAGTCCTTACTCAGTTCCCAATGCTATGAAAAACAACAGAAATGGAACAAAAGTTAAAATCACTTAAGCAGATAAAATCTAACAAAAATGCAGCAGAAATTCAGTGGTAATAACTGAAGGTCTTTACACCCAAAGCGAGGACTGATACTTTTCAATCTTCCTATTCCAAAACCTAATAGAAATGTTAGTCTTAGGCCAAAATGAGTTTTAAAGATTTTTACAATTCAGAACAAAATTAGTAGACAGGAAAATAACCACTTACTGTAATGACAAGCAAGATCTGTCTCTGTTCTGGAAAGGAAGTTCTAGCCAGATAATGTCGTGCCAGACTAGCCTTGCCAATATAGTATTTGCAAGTTCTGTTTTCTTCTGGTCCCACTGATCAAAATCTCTTCATTCCTTCAGTCATTTTGCTCCTGTGGCAAATTTTTGTTTATTGGAGATGCTAACCTTGCAGTTCTTCTCTATCGGTATTTGCCTTCATTGTTTTGACTATTTAAGTACATTAGGTGCAAGCTCCTTGCCTTCCATTTCATCAGTCTCTCTCTTTTTTGCTGCTTATTTTCCACCTGCATCATCTTAACTGTTTGTAGGTATTGTTAACAGATGTGTTGTCCCTTTTTTTTTTTTGCTATCTTTGGGTCTAATGCTTCCTCTCCTCAATTTTCAAAAGGGAATTTTGAGAGATGAGATTTAAGTTAGGGTCATCAACATTTATAAACAAGTTAGTGTCACATCTTTCTATAGAATCATAGAATAGTTTGGGTTGGAAGGAACCTCTAAAGATCATCTAGTCCCAACTCCCCTGCCATGGGCAGGGACACCTTCCCCCAGACCAGGTTGCTCAAAGCCCCATCCAGCCTGGCCTTGAACACCTCCAATGATGGAGCATCTACATCATTTCTGGGCAACCTGTTCCAGTATCCCACCACTCCCATTGTAAAAAATTTCTTTCTTATATCCGATCTAAACCTAAGCTCTATCAGTTTAAAACTGTTGCCCCTTGTCCCTTCACTACAGGCCTTGATAAAAAAAACCAACACCTTTCTCAGTCTTTCTTATAAGCCACCTTCATACATTTAAAGCTGCTGTAAGGTCTCCCCAGAGCCTTCTCTTCTCCAGGCTGAACAACCCCAACTCTCTCAGCCTTTCTTCATAGGACATGTGTTCCTCTGACCATTTTCATGGCCCTCCTCTGGACCTGCTCTAACACCTCCATGTCTTTCTTGTAATGGGGGCCCCAGAGCTGGACTCAGTACTCCAGGTGGGGTCTCATGAGAGCACGTTAGAAAGGGAGAATCACCTCCCTTGTCCAATTTAGAGATAAGAATGTTGTATGAGACTGTCAAAGGCCTTATGGAACTCCAGGTAGATGACATCAGTTGCTCTTTCTTTATCTACCTGTGCGATCACTCCATTGTAAAAGGCTACTAGATTAGTCAGGCATGATTTGTCCTTTGTAAAGCCATGTTGGCTGTCTCTAATAGCCTCCCTGTGGCTATCCATATGCCTTGACATAGCTTCCAGGAGAATCTGTTCCACTATAGTATCACTTTTGTTACTTTTTCCTCCTCATTTACTGATATTTCTTTGCCTTTTGTGACTTTCTTGTTTACTAGAATTTAGATTATAAGCTCTGTCACAACAGGAATTCTGCCTTTACTGTTCTCTGCAGCTCCTAATGGATTTTCAATACTTAAGATTAACTTTTCTAGATTTTCTTGAGGTCTTCTGTTTCCTTTCTCTCTGACATGATATTGGATTCAGATCCTCAGATGCAGAGTAACTAACGGTTTCAGTGACTTTTACACTTATAAGTGGAACTGTATTAATCTCCTATGGAAACCATCTGTATGAGATATTTGCATGTGTACATATGCATACATATATGTTTATGCTTAGAATGTTTGGTATTGGAATCCATTTCTTGATGGAACTGATTATTCTAAAAGTTTATTCATTCTTAACAGTATCAATTCTAGCCACAAATTAGTACATTCAAGTGATGTCAGGCTGACTCTAGTGTTATGCAGTTTAGTTTACAGCAAATTTTCTTTTAAGTGGACAGATGAGGAAGCAGATAAAATAAAAGGAAAAACTTAATTTTTAAGGTCTGTAATGGTTGCATGGGTTCCGCTATGGTTCTGTGTTGGCTATTGTTTTTTTTTCCCCTGAGACTGCTACTTTGTAATGTGGAATGGTTAGAGCACTGAATACATAATTAAGCGTTGTCACTAATTGGTGTATTATGGTTGTACTGGTAGACAGAGACTTTGTGATGACTAAATGCATGTAGTTTTAGTAATTTTAAAATAAGTTATGTATGTGTTTGGCCAAACCTGTTAAATTTTGATCTGCAGAACAAATTTTGATGTCGGCAGAGCTTTGTATTGAAATAGAGTAGAAAACAAATGAGCATAGCATTAAGTACTTCTGTGTTTAACAGGCTTTAAGACCAGATTTAAGATCTAATAAGATTTGCTGTTGAAAATACAATTTTAATTGTCTTTAGAATAAATCTTCTAGATTGCATAAATTTAATTTGTTAAAAGAAATCCCAAAGCTTTTTTGATTTTCTTTGTCAATTCTGAGTGTGTTCTAATTGTTTAAGTAAGTCTTTGTCCATTTTCCAGAATCAGTGTTGTGTCTGAGGGGTACATGCTGCTTTACAAATTTTATTTTTTTAAAAAATACTTTTAAATGGTGATTTTGCATTACATTCAGAGAAGTAGATATATAAATTGGCCTAATGTATGGGGTTTGTTTTATTTGTATGCCACAAAAAAATGTATAACTTGGTTGAGTTTCATCCCCCTTCTCAGGGAATTAGTGTACCTGAGCTGAGTTTAAGGTTATTCTCAATATTAAAAGATAAAGAAATAATAATCATTCCAATTTGTGCCACAGAATGCAGTCAGTAACAATGAACTATACTTTGTCCTCTGAGTCAAGGAGGACGTGCGTCCTTGTCAATATACCAACTAGGCACAGTTCTCTTCTACGCTTGCCAAAGGCTTTAGACTTAGGTGATGTTACTGAGCAGGAAGGGAGCTGTATCTTAGCTTTCTGCTGGGGGGTGGATCTGCTATAAAGAGGCAATAGGTCTGGAATAGGTATCACGGTTTGGGTTTGTGGTCTTGGGTTGCTTCGACTCTGGCTATAGCAGGCATTTCAGGGTTTCAGTCCGTAGAGGAAGACTATGGCTTGAAGCACAGAAGTGAAAACGAGGCTTGATTAATTTCTTCTAGATTTAATTTTTTTTTGAGGGGGGGGGCGGGGGAGGGAGGCTTGCTTTATCTAATGCATGGTCTCTTTTGATGCCACTTGCAAATTTAGCAGAGTCAATGTTCCCAGTGGGTAGGTTTTTGTCTCTGCACTTCCTCTTGGCTCATAGCTGGAAATCCTCTTCAATTCTTTCTGGTTTCAAAACTGTCGTTTGACTAAAATAGCTGCTTATTCCTGTTAAAGGTTGGGTTTTTTTTCATATTCAGAGGTAACAAATCTTTCCTCTTGACCTTTCTTTGGCAGGTTGAATACACCAAGCTGTTTTGGTGGCCTTGTTTACCTTATGTTTTTCTGTACATTTTCTTCTGTCTTTTGCACCTACTTCTGTTAACCTTCCTTGGCCTGTGTTACTAAATGGTTTGTGGTATAGTAAATGGTGCCTTAAAGTATGTAGGCTATGTTCATACAGATAATTTTGAAGTTCATATCTGTTCTGGAAATACATTACTTAATAAATTGTAGAAGTACATTTGCCACCTTCATGTTATTTTACTTTGTGTTATTTGGCAACTCTTAGAGATAGGTTATTCTCTTCATGCTCAGTCATAGTTCATAGGTTTCCACAGTATAATGGAAATACTTGGTACTCTCTTCACCATTTGACCTTATCTTACCTGGTAATTCTGTTGAATTCTGTTTGCTTTCTGAATATTAACGGCTTGATGAAAATTTGTGAAATTGCCATAGTAAAACCAATACAGCGTTTACGTTACTGGTAGCTAAACACTGGTTTGGTGCAGATCTTTGACTTTGGCTGCATAAAGCAAGAGGTCCTATTGTAAACAATTTCATCAACTCCATGTCTCAGTACTTTGCTAAAGTAGGCCTTGGGTCCTGAGTGTGATATCTTCCTGTACAGTTTCTGAATCTTAATTCTTCTCCTTTTTTTAAGGGAAGCTTCAACTGATTAATTCAATTTAATTGCTTTGATTTGTCGTTAAAAACATTCTTACAATTCTTATGTTTCTGTGGCTGCAAGGTCTGAAATTGATTTTGGCATATTTACCCATGCTTCCATGTTTTATTTCACAGTCTATATTTCTTTTAGAAAATTTTACTGTTACCTTTTTTGTTTTTGCCTTTTTTTTTTTTTTTTAATAGGATGAATGTTACCAAGTGAGACAAATATTTGCTCAGAAACTTCACAAAGGCCTTTCTAGACTACGGCTGCCACTAGAATATATGGCTATTTGTGCACTGTGTGCAAAAGATCCCGTGAAAGAGAGAAGAGCTCATGCTAGGCAGTGCCTTGTGAAGAACATAAATGTCAGAAGGGAGTATCTGAAGCAACATGCAGCAGTTAGTGGTAAGAGAATAGAAGTCGCTTTTTGGTACAAGTGCTGTAGTTCAAATGTAAATGTGAGTAGACTGTGAAAATATTGATGGTTTTCTGTTTCTATAAGTAGAATGGCTGTAAATTTCACTTAGAGGTATCTAATGAAAACTGAAAATAGAGTCCAGATTTTCTTTTGAGTTTTTTAATAGGCATTTCTGAGATCTTTCAGTTTTGTTAAGCTGTGCAAATTCTTATGCCTAAGTATGTTGGAAGTGCAGTAGTTTTTCAAGGCAGTTATGTGTACTGTTTGAACTTAATGGTTAATTATGTTGTAAGTTAAGTGGCAATGATTAATTTTACTTCAATAATTAATAATATGCAACCCTAATGACATAAACGCTGTACTAAATTGACTGTCTTTGTGCTGCTATATTGCGAAGCTTCATATCTTGTCTTATGCTGGCAAAGAACTATATTTGTAGGCGCTTCAGATGAGTTTATGTAACTCTTTCTTCCCAGTGCCAGGATTCTGATCATGGGAGTGCTTAGTAAGTTACTATGGACTAATGTTAGCTATTTTGCTTTTATAAAATCAGTCCTTTTACCTTTTGAATTACTCAGAGATACAAGTATGCAGTGTGACAACACTGGTACATGCTCATAGGAAAAAGCAGACTTTTATGAAGAAGGTTATGTTCATACAGATGACTTTTATGGGCATTTTGCGTAAGAGGGTTTGAAAGTTTAATTTCTTTGAAAGATTACTGAAGGTTTCACCTTTGTGAAACGAAGGAGATTTTTTTCTTCTCGTCTTAGGATAGACCAGACCTGTTTTGTGAATCTGATCTCACAGGTGCTGGCAGATAACCGATTTTCTTCTGCATTTATGAATCACAGACTTTATATTAGCCATCTCGGTCTGTGTGCGCCTTGGTCCCCTTAGACTTTGATCAGAGAATAAGTCTGGAGAGAAACCTTTTTGAAACCCTTTTGTGTATTGTTAATTAGTCCTAAAAAAAAGACAGTGCTTTTCTCCCTTCTTAATAACATGTAAAAAAGAAAAATCCATTGAGCAAATGCCTTTAAGTCATCCTAAGACTATTCCTCTTGAAGTTGAAAATTCTTTTAACTCTCCTTAGTTATGTAGGAGGAAAGTATAAGAATTCTCATATGATTAAAGTAATTGCTGATTTCCTAACTATATTAAGATAGGTGCTGCAAAGTTACTATCAAAAATCTGTGGAAGAAATGAAGAGGAGCCTAGTTGTGTGTGATGATTTTTTTTAATTTTTTTTTTTGTCCAGTAGGACCTTCAAAGTCTGCCTGGTGATGGTGGGTTTTTTTTTTTCATACTGAAAGACTTACCTTGAGAGATGCCATTGATTCAATATGTGCTATAATCTGTGAGGAGTCTGGATTAAATACAGTTTGCAGTATTTTTTTGAGGATTACAAATGTTAACTTTGTGACATTCAGATTTACCAGTGTGAGCTTTTAACAAATAAAATGCCTTGACCTGTTTGCATCTTAAAAAATCATTATTGCAATAGTACAGCTGAAGCTCAGTTCTGGTAAAATCATACTGTTTGAATGTGTATGTGCTTCCCTCTGTCATTCTCCCTACTGGCCCTGCAGTAACTGAGTACTAATGACGATAGTACCTCCTTTGAAAAGCTTCACAAGAAACTTGAGCTGAGACTCTGCATCTTTGATTAATACTGCCATTCTTCTGAATCTATAAATGTGATTTTGTGATACCTTTTTCCTTGAAAACTTGGTACAGATGAGGAGGCAATCTTTCAGATATTTTGGGGCATTTCAGCATTTGTTGAAAAGATGGTAAACTTGTATATACTTTGTCTAAGGAAAACTTCCTAAGGACTGGTACCAGACAGTAAAATGTCTCATTCCTCCACACTGACATATTACAGGAATTATTCTCAGGCCTCTTAAATTCTCTTAAGTACTATTCAGAGTGGAAACAGCTCAAGAAGAGACCTATTTTGATTGTGTATCTGTTACTAGTTTCATCTGGGTAGATGCTTGTGTCTTGCATAGGTATCTTTGTTTTCTAAGGCTGGGCTTTTACTTGCAAGGCAGTAAGTGGGAAAAATTACAAGAGTAAAGATTAGGGTTTTTTGACAAGTTTCTTTCCTAAATGCTCATAAAGGCCTGTCATGAGGGTTTTTGGCACATTCTGGTTTCAAGTGCTGGTAGTTCATGTCCGTAAAGCCACCCTACCTTTTGGGTGTCTTTCTTCATTAGAGATGAGGAAAGAAGGTGTAAATACTATTTGTTGTTGTGACGGGGTTAAATATAATGTGTGTCAATATTTGTCCTCTTCCTGTTTTGTCTGGATCTGATTCACTTTGTTTTCCAGACCCAGCTGGAGTTATTACTATAGTTATATTAGAAATTGTAAAAGGCAGGAAGTTAAAGAAACACTGAGTTCATGAGCTCTTGATGAGCATTCTGTTGAAGTTGCTAATTAATACAAATAATTGCAGGTTAGTCTGGGACATGTCTAAGGCAAGCCAATTTTGCTAATGTTCTGAAATCATAATTATGTTCTTCCCTGCCACATCTTTATTTTTTTATTTAGTTACGCAAACAGCTGCTGGCTAAAATGCAGGACAGTGCTCGAAGAAGAGAAGGATATTTTTAAAGTTAATAGTGGAATGTCACTTGAAACACATTAAAAACTGCTTTGCAAAGTACACTGGATTTCAATTAGATAAATACAGCTTAAAATGGAAAGAAATTGGGTGATTTTATTGTTTCTTTCAAAACTTACAATGGCTTACAATTTATATAGTAGAGATACTACTCCTCATGATTAACTGCATTAACTGCAATGGCTGTCTAAAAGTGTATCCTTGGAACTTGACAGGACTGTCTTCTGTGGGCCTTTATTAATTTTGAACGCTTTCCTTGCTATTATGAATGAGTCCAGATATTTTATGTAGGCTGTGTGTTATCTGTATTTATGCAGACCTTTCAGAACGGGATAGATTAAGACTTGACTTATGCATGGCAATTATTTAGTTAGTCTTCTGAAATCTACAATAATGATATATTTTGATGTGCACAATATTTGTCAAGCACGTCTCACATGAATACATGTATTAGAGATTAAAATGTCAATGTTCTAATGTATTTTAAAATACAGTTTTCAAATATTATTATATATAATAATTTACAGATGTTTGGACTTCATGTTCATAACCTAATATGGGATAGTTAAAAGCTTACCGCAAGAAGATTTTCCAGACTTGGTCATGTCTTCCATGACCACTTACTAGCTCAAAAATGTAATTTTTCAAAAGCAGAGACAGGAATTTCCCTCCTTCCTTCACCTGTACATCCAAGTGTTTATCACGTGTTAATACTATGACTTTGCATTTGCCGCGAGCACCCAAGATTAGTTGCTTGTACTATACTAATATATGTAGAATACAAGAATGCCTTCTTTGCCTGTTGTCCTGCCTGTTGCACAGGGTACAGGTTTAATAACTTGGGTGTGCTGTGCATCCTCCAGATCCTCTCAGTCATTAGGCCAAAGAAAGCAGCGTGGACATTTTCTGCAAAATGCTTTTTGACTTTTGGTATACAACTTCTCTTTTTGTTGTCCTTGCCCTGTGGGTTGTGACCTTTTTTATTCTGATTTTCATCATCAGACTTTGGGGTGCTGAAGTTCACTCTGCATATTGTTGGTTAGCTCAGGAATTTGTTACCTTATGGAATGTGTATGTTGTGATCAGAGGGCCTTTGTCACCAATGCTTGCGTTTTGAATCTGAGGAAAATAGGCCATCTGACTGTTGTGATGTAGGAAAGACTTTCTTCTGCAATGCTTGCTTAGGACTACTTACAAGTCTCAGAGGATGCTAGAAAAAGTTTTGAATGCTTTCAATGTCATAGTTCAGTTGTGCTGCTCTGTTCAAGTGGGATTGAGCCTTTCAAACTCAGTCCACTACTACTTTGTTATAGCTTTCATATTACCCCCTGTCCCTTCTTTAAACAGATAAGGTAGGCTGCGGGTTTGGAGAACATTGTGGTAATTTGACTGCAAAGCCCTTGCAAAGGACATTTCTTTCTGTTCTGTTGACAACAAGGCTGCACACTGCAATGTCCAAAGAAAGAATAGTAGTTTATCCTGCAACTGTGCTGGTATCACATCTTGCAGTTAAGATGGATTTTGTGATCTATCCTCACTTCTATTTTTGAAAGTTTTTCCAAATACAGGCTTTGAACTGAGAAAAGAATTGTATGACTGTAGCTGTATTATCAAGGTAGTTAGAAAATATGCACTCCTGGGTGAGAGATACTTAAAATCTTAATTTTTGCATGCATGAAACTTCTGCACATCAACCATGAGATGCAACATCATAAAGAAATGGTAGGCCCACGTGTGCCTATACTTTATCTTAATGTATGCCGACCTTAAATTTTGCTCTTCCCTCTGTAGCAGAAAAGCATATTTCTTGGTATGTAGTCTTTTGATACATCTTTCTTCTGCTTTTCAGAGAAACTGTTGTCACTTCTACCAGAGTATGTTGTTCCATATACTATCCACCTTCTAGCTCATGACCCAGATTATGTCAAAGTCCAGGACATTGAACAACTCAAGGACATTAAAGAGTAAGACTACTTTTAATAGTGTTATTTCTAGGATTAAAACAATCTAATTTTATTCTAAGTGAAATTTTAATTCATTGGGGTACCCTGGTACACTGTCCGGTGCACGTAACAATGGCAATTATTTCTGTAAAATGTTGTGAGAAATAGTATATATGAGTTTTTAGTGCTCTGTGATATCTTAGAGAGGAACCTTTACCTTCTGCTCATCCAACCTGTATTTTATTCTAAAGAACTGGTTTCCCAGAGTTAGACTGGTTCAAATTTGTAATACTAGGAAAACCTAGAGTAAACCACTTTCTCAAATGTGCTTTTTTGAATAATTTCTTTTGCATTTTTATTCACGAGGAGTACTGCATTTCTCCATTAGGTGCCTGTGGTTCATACTGGAAATACTGATGGCTAAAAATGAAAACAACAGTCATGCGTTTATCAGAAAAATGGTAGAAAATATCAAACAGACTAAGGATGCTCAAGGACCAGATGATCCAAAAATGAATGAAGTAGGTGATACTTTTTGATTGGAAATTGCATTTAATTCTGTCCTGCTTCTGGAAATGAGTTGCTTTTTGTTTATACACCAACTTCAGAATGTCTTTCAATAGTATTGTATGTGGGAGATGGTACTTTATATACTGCAATGATTATCTTTATTGTCGTTTAGATGACAGTTATTTTCCTATCCTTTGGTACATCTTGCAGATTTGCAAGGGAGTTGTAATAGTTTGCAGTTTTTACTGTTTAAATCATCCACTAAAGTGCTTTGTAATATTTTATTTTAAAAGTGCAAGAGTATAGGAAGAAAAGTACATGCGTTAGATGTCTTCAGAGTGTATTGTCGTGAATGTATCAAACCCTGGTCTTGTTTTTGACATTTTTGCATGACATAAGGTATAGGTTTGTCACTTTTCTGTCTTTCCCACAAAGATTAGATTTATTTTTTTTAGCTTTGTCTTTGAAACCATAGCATACGCTATTTTTAAGTGTAGAAAGATCATGAAAGCTAGCTGTCTTAACTGCTAGGCCTACAGTGCTTTTGTCTTTTGTTCCTATATTTATATATATTTATTTATTTATATATATTTTGTATTTTGTTCCTCTATATATACCCTGTGAGATACACTGTTTGGATACAGGCTAAAGTTAAATGTTTAAGATGATTGCTTTTAAACTGTGAGTTCTTGTAATTCTGTGCTTAAAAGATACTGTCCTCTATTAAGATTTATGTTGAACTTCTAAAATGTTGTCTGTTTTTTTAAATTTTATTATTTACAGAAATTATACACAGTCTGTGATGTAGCAATGAATATCATTATGTCAAAGAGTACAACATACAGTTTGGAATCCCCTAAAGACCCTGTACTTCCAGCCAGATATTTTACTCAACCTGACAAGGTATACCTTGGCATCCTTGGCATTTAATTTTTCTTGAGATAAGTCTGTTTAAATCTGTTAGCTGTAATTCTGGTTTTTTGGGGTTTTTAATAGTTCTTGTAACTTCAGATTTCTCCCTGTTATAATGTAGCACATGAAAATGTATGTATGTGTTTTCATAAATATGTATATATGATGTACACACCCTGATTTCTCCCCCTACCCCACCCCCCACTGCCTTGAGACATTGTTGTTCAGGTGTAAAATTTCAAAAGCATAAATGTTGTAAAGAAAATCTTTCAGTACTACCTCCAAAATGTATGTGTCTAGTTTACTGATTATTGCTGTGATTTCCACCCCATCTTCTTTACAGAATTTCAGTAACACCAAAAATTATCTTCCTCCGGAAATGAAGTCTTTTTTTACTCCTGGAAAGGTATGTATGGGGGGGTGTGGGGGGGCGGGGGGATGTTTTGGGTTTGGTGCTGTGTTTGCAGTTTTGGTTTCATTTTTTGTGTATTGTGAGGTGTTTTTTTTTGTTTGTGCGTGCGTTGTGGTTTTGTTTTGTTTTTTAAGAAAACCAACATGTAGTTAATGAAACACTTAATGTTTAAGAAGATAGATTGTTTCTGCCCAAAGGGTTTATATACCGAAGGTTGGTAAACAGGTGGAGAGAAAGAGATAGGTAGAAGGGAAAACTGCTGCTGTCTCTCCTGGGTTGTGGTAATAGTAAGCAAAGCCTGTTGTCTCTAAAAAGAGAAAGTCCAAAAAAACCCCATAATATTTCACAAGTTTGCAAAATTGTTAACCTTTTTTTCTGCAGAAGACTACAATATTGTGTTTGAAGTGACAGCTATGGAGAACTCTAATGTAAACTACTTTAAAACTCGCATAAATTAATCTTTGGCAAAGCTGAATACCATTTTACAGCATCTTACAAGATAACTGACTGTTACATGGTTATATTAATTTATTCTTTCTAGATAATGCATTGTATTGAATGGCAATGTTTTTTCTTCACTAAAACTGAAACCAGATATGCTTTAGAATAAAATTAAGTCTAGTAAAGGAAAAGAAAAATTATGGTTTTCATCTAGATTAATGTGTCCTCTTCTAGATTGCAGGAGAACGTTAATTTTCTACCTTGCAAAAGAAATAAAAGCGCAGCACCCTCATTACCCTTAACTTTGTCTAATGAAGCATTAGCTGTGAGGTAGTAACTTAAGGAATAGAGGAGGAATGCAGGTTAGGAAAATATGGAGATGTACAGGAGCATCTTTTTAATTAGAAGTTGAAAGCCAACATTTATTGATTGGAATATATCATCACTGTATTGCACGTTTGAGTATTTGAAGTCCATTGATTAGAGATTCAGTTCTTACTAAAGACACAGAAGTTTTTAAAATGACGTTGTGTGTCTTCCAATTTCTGGTCAGTAGTCAATATTAAGTTCTCTCATCAGTTTTTGACATAAAACATTCTTGCTAGTTTGTACCAGACTTCATATTTTAAGTGTACTGTGACAGTACTAAACAAGAAACAAGGTTTATGCTATCATGAAAAAAATCACAGAATGTTTGAGCTTGGAAGGGACATCTGGAGGTCATCTAGTCCAAAGCCCCTGTGCTCTCAGACCTTCCTAATGTGAAAAATGCTCCAGTCCCTTCTTCATCTTAGTGGCCCTTTGCTGGACTGTCTCCAGTAGCTCCATATATCCTAATGGAAATTCTTTTGAATCCTAAAGTGGCTTTTATACTATTTTAAATTTCTAGCGCCAGGTACTCTAGCTTCTTTTTTATTGTTCTGAAATTTTGTAACAGCAGATGTGTATTTGACCACCAGAAATTTTCATGAGAAGCAATGTGAAATGAGAGTTAGTCTAGGGAGTCTTATTTTGGGGAATGGAAGACTGATTTGAGTGGAGTGGGTTTTTAGTGGGGTGGGTATAGGCAAGGAACAGTATCTGAGGGCAGCAAGGCTTTGAGTGTAGGTTCTGTGGTAAGGGAGAAGCTGTTAGTGCAGGTCCTGTTAGTGTTAGACCCTCCTTAGTAGGAAATACAGTCCAGTGAACATACTTCTGCTTTTGTGCTCTTCCTGTATTTGCTTATTGTTTAACATGAAGTTCTAAATGAATAGATGTAAATTCTTAACCTGGATTTTGTTCTCCAAGTTTTATTTTTGGAAAGGATGTGCTGTTTTTCTTGTACCGAGTGCACGGTGAACCTTCGTAAGTGTAAAATTCCCTCTGGCTATAGAAGTATAACCAGCACATCCATGGTGCATATCTATGAAAAAGGAACACTCAGAGCTGCTATGATGTGCACATTGAACTTTTTTTATCTATCACTAATTTTAGACATAGCTAGAATCTAATACTGAAATAGAAGAGGGATCATCCTAGATAACGAGAAATATAGGAAACGGTCTTTAATTCAGCATTTTTGTACATGGGTGTTTGTCATGAAGATATCTTCTCTTTAGGAGTAACCAAACTCTTTCAGCTCTCTCAAAAGTTAGTATGAGCTGGAGGTATTTGGCATGTCTGAAAGATAATCCCCTTAAATGAATAACCTGAAGCTCACTAGTGTCTGGAAATTTTTGGCACCTATTAAAAGCCTAACATGTGCATGAAGTATCAGAATCTTCTCCACAGTGTTTGATTTTTAAGATTCTTATTCATACCTAGTTGAAACTAGTGGGGTTTGCCATTACAGCTAAGCCAGTTTAATGGCTTCTTTGCTGAAAGGGCTGTCCTACTGCTATTTTTGTTTTGCCGGTACAGATACTTAATCTGATCCAAGTGGTGAGCTGGTTCAGGCAGCTAGATCAGCAGAAAGCAAACTGTGCAAAAAGTGCTGAAGTGGCTTACTGCAAGGTCAGGTGAGCGACCAGTGCTGCCAATGAGAAGAGGACAGAATATAAGGGTAGAGAAAAGAATACCATTTTTGGTGGCTACTAGCTATTTGATAACAGCGTTGTCAGCTTCTCTCTGGTGTCTGTTGTAACTTTCATATGAAAATGTTTATTGCTTTGTGTTAAAATTAAGATACTGATTGCAGAAAATGAAATCTGTGAATATTTTCAGCATAGTATATGTTAACAATATCTAAACATGTAGCTTAAAATAAAGGAAATATATTTTTGGTTTCAGCCCAAAGCAGCCAATGTTCTTGGAGCAGTTAATAAGCCTCTTTCGTCAGCAGGCAAGCAGTCTCAGTCCAAATCTTCACGAATGGAAACTGTAAGCAATGCCAGCAGCAGTTCAAATCCAAGCTCTCCAGGAAGGATCAAAGGGAGGTTGGTAGACAACAAAGGAGCTTTGATATTTCAAGTATTTGTAATGGAAACTCTGAATATTTCTAGAATGTTTTCTAAGTGAGAAACAGAATTCCGTTATCTTATTCTGAAGTAAGGTTATAGTACTACATTGGTATAACTGAAACCATGAATTTGGCTTTCTAACCCCAGAAATAAGTTTGCTTTAAAAAAAACCCTAAAAACCAGAATCAAATAACATCCAGAATTGGCTGTAGGAGGGAAGGAGAGCCTCATATGTTTATTTTATAGTTTTATATATATGTGTGTAAAAAAAAAAAAAAAAAAAAAAAAAAAAATCAACCACCCATGTATAGATGTGTATATATATGTGTGTGTGCATACATACATCTGCAGTTCCTAGGAACCTTGTGGCCTGCTGTAAGTTAACAACATGTCACAGTGAGGAGTGGTAGGCCATTGTGGTGATCTTGCATGACTTCCTCCTCTACTTATCCTGCACTTTGCTGGATTTTGCAGATAAGCATTTTTGGATTTATATTCCTTCTGTGATGGAGAGGGAAATGTACTGTAATGCTACATAAATCATTTTCTAATTTTCTGTCTTTAAAAATCATAGCTTATTTTGTGTCAGTTGTTTAGGTTATTTGTCAGTTACTGTATCTTCTTTTTTAAGTGAAAGTCACATTATATCATTAATTTTTTTCAGACATTTGGAGATTGCATAGCCCTCACTATTCATATTTTCTCACATTACTTCAAGACTGTGAGGAAATATTATGTTTGGAAATAAGACTTCTCATTTGGTACTTTGGTGACTATACGTAATATTAATTTTAAATGTAATACAGTGTTTTACAAGAAACAATTCTCAACTTCGTGGAAAGTCCACAGAGAAGCTTATTTCTTACAAGTCATGCAGGTTCACATGCTGAAATACATTATTGGCTAAAGACAGGTTGGAATCCAGATTCTTCTCTATATCCAGTGAAACCAATCAGAGACCAGTACTGTTCTCCATCCAGTTAATTTTTATAAGAGTGCTGCACTCGCATCCTAACATGTTCTGTTACCTTCATGATCTCCCCAGTTCACCTAAGTTAAACTGATTAGTGTTTTGAGTGGAGATACCCAAGAAGAAGAAAAGTCCTTTAGAAACAATAGTAATGATTCAGTATGCATAGCATTTCCAGATCAGTCTGAATATATACAGGCAAGCGTGCATCTGTTAAGATGATGTATCAAAACTGAGCTTCTGATTATGTCACAGTTATTACAGATTTTATACTTGTAGGAGTGAGAACATCATCTTTCTCAGTCTATACTGTGCTTAAGCCAGGGAGATAAGAGTTTGTGTATTTGAATATCACTTTTCATTTCAGCGCATAGCATTTTCTTTTAATTAAAAAACATGCACTGTTGTTTAAAAATGTTGCTTCTGTCTACCCCAGGGCAGATGAAACATTTGTGTATTGGCTTTTGTATATTACCTTTTATCTGTGGGTCTCAAGTCTTACATATGCAGGAAGTATTATTGTCCACGTTTAGATGTGTAGAAACTGAAACAAAAATGAAATTGCTGTCCAAAGTAACAACAGAATGTTGAGGGATGAACTGGTTTCTGAAATTCAAATCTGCTGTTTATGGCCTAAACCTCACCACAGGAAAGCATGCTTGTTTTGTCAGGTCTGTCTGTGAGGATCTTTGATTGGTATATGAAAGTGTATGCAAGTGTATATCAACACACAGATCTCCTGAAACTCAGTAAGGCTGTTTGAAAAAGCTGCTTAACTTTCCCAGTGAATAAAGAAGATTCAACTTGGCTTATGATTGACACCTTTGTCGTGAGACTTAGATGTTCTGGCTTGTGATATCTGGTGGCGGCTGTAGTAGCCAGAGTGAAAGGTTCTTTCTGCCAGATTGTTCATGGTTTAGGAATAGATGGCTTCTGAAGATTGTTGTTGTTGATTTTTTTTTATTAATATTTTTTTTAACAAGTGCCCACTGTATTCTAATAATGAGGAGAATAAATGTTTATTCATTCTAGGCTTGACAGTACTGAAATGGACCACAGTGAAAATGAAGAATTCACACTGGCTTCACCCTTACCAGGGAAGAAAACTGACAAAAGGGACGACTCTGATCTTGTAAGGGTGAGCTGTTTGGTTGCATTGCAGATGTGTGTTTTAAGTCACCAAGATTTTAAAATAAAAATTAATGTGGTGGTACTTGATGTCATTCAAGAAAATACACTGAAACACGGAACTGAGTCGATGTTGTAAGCTCCTGGAAAATGTGTTTAGAGTTGGCTATGAAAATGCAATGAAGGTTCAGTTTGTCTGTTTTTCATGTGTACATTACCTTACCTTTGCATCATACTGATAAGTCCTGTGAGCTTTCAAGGTTACCAGTTATGACTTGCAGGATATTGGTAATACTGACAGGGGTAGTTTCCACTAGAGCTAGGTTGATGAGACTTGGTCCATGATTTGTCTCCTTCTTAGGATTTGTTGATGAAGCATTTGGGAATCATTCAAGGTGATAGCTTCCTTGGACTTCTGTTCCCCAATGTACACTAGAAAGACTTTTTTTTTTAATATGTTCTTGATATTTACTTGAAAGATAGCTTTGGAAGAATTAATTGGATTAGTTCAGGAATGATAACTATATTGGAGTTTTGGGGGGGTGGTTTAACCTGTGTGAAATTTCAGATTGCCTTCTGGTATTGTAAAAGTCTGTATCATACATAGTTTCTTGCTTGTAGCTAGAAAAGTGATAATACATCATTACAGTGTTGATACATTATAATTCTTGCCTTTTTTTTGTACTGTCCCATCACTGATGCTAAGGCATGTTCTCCTTTTCAAGCCAGATGTGTTTTGCTTTCAAGGAATAGCAACTCTTTGTTCTCTGGCTATCTAGAATACCAAGAGGGCATCATGATTTGACATTGGATTTAGAATTTCAAGGAAGAGTTATCTGAATAGCCATATGGATTCTGGTTTTGTGCATGCAACTTGTACTACGGTGAAGGCAGGAAAGTGGTCAGTTCTGAATGGCGGGTATCACAGATAGAAGTTGCAGCATGATTTCAAAGCTGTCTGTGCATAATACAGTCTTCAACAGGCTTTTAGGGCAGAGTGAGCTAGCTAACTGATAGTTATAGACAAGTGCAATCCAATATGATGTAAAAGTCTTAATGATTAACAAGCATGTTGCCTATGCTGTTAGATAAACTGTGAGAACAGTGAACCCCAAGGGGTAGCAGAGCGGTGTCATTGCTATGCTTTTTACATTGTCAGGATCATTGAGGAGAAATTGCATGTGTGTCTTATCTCAGAGAGAGATTCTAGCGAATGACCACTAAACCAAGGCCTTTGGGAGTGCTAGCTGTGTCCTTACTAATGCATTTATGTATTTCTGTAGATCAGTAATGCTAAAGGTTCCTAATGAGGATATAAAAAAATGATATGGACTCTCACTCAGGTGTAGTGCTTTAATATGTTAATGAAATTACAGAGAGGCTAAATAGTCTCAAGCAGTATTTACACCTGTATCTGAACACAGAAAAACAAACCACCAAAGAAAATAAGTGTACTGTAACTTTAAGAGCAGTTCAAATAATAATAATTTCACATACTGCTAGTAAATTTTGGTTCTTTGTGCCTTAATAACAGTTGGCAGTCTGTAAATGTTGTAGTATTTGGGATATGCATGAAAAAGTAATAATACAGACAAGATCATATTTGTCGCAATTGGATTTTCTGGAATGCATTAAAGATGTCTTATATCTGATGTCACTGCTGCTGTATTTTTTTGACTGGCTCTGATGCTTCTCTGTTCTCCCATTATGTCAGTCTGTTGCATTTTTCTAGGTTGCTTGGCACATAAGCTACTGTCTAGTAAAAATGCCCTGAATTTTTGCTTGTTTTGAAGTGTAAATAACCATCTTACACTGTGATATCTTGTGGGAGAAGCAAACTGGCTTATGACAAAACAGGAAAATCGGCAATCTCTTGTGGGGGAAAAAAAAACAAACAAAACACTTCTAATGTTTCCTGTATTGATATGTCACTTCAGCTGTAAACCTTGAAAAGTCAGACTCCAAACAGCTGCTGGCATGCAGTTCATGTTTAGAAGCATTTGGTTGAATTGGTAACCGACAAAGCTAAGTGATAAAGCAAATACAGTTGAGTATTTTGAGTACTTTTGAGGGCATTTTTGTATTTCACTTTGAATATGTAAGCAAGCAGCTTAAGGTCATTGATTCAGAACTCATTTTTGTTTTTTTTGGAGCTGAGGAGCAGATTATAGCAAGCATCAACTGAGAAGCAGAATTTTAATTGGGGAGCGGGAAGTCCGTGTTTTAAAAGATGTCCCTATTCAGGATATTTGTCCAGATTGCATCATACAGTAACACATTAGTTCTAAGGCTGTGGGATTCTGTTTAACCTGAGGGGCAAACTTTGCTTTGAAACTTGGTAAAAGCACTGCAATGACAGATGTGTACAGTCGCTGCAAAAGCAAATACAACAGGGAATAACAAGGGTTTCCCTGATCTAGAGCAACAGTTTTCTAGCTGAAATCATGAACTGGCAGGAGATATCATTGTTCGAACATTTTTCTTATTCTCTTTTCAATTTCTTTTACTTGTTTTCCTCATATCCTTTCTAGCTTTTCTTTCTGCTTTTCTCGACCAGTGTTTATGGATAAAGTGGAGACGTATTGTTAGCTGACATCTGTCTTATGTCACAAGGGAGATGTGAAGGAAAAAAACCAACACTCAATCTGGTTTGAAGTGGCATAACTGTCATTATGTAGATTAAATTGCAATGTGGCAAATACTGATAAATGAGTGTTTGTATGGTTGAAATACAGTAATGTTAGTTTGAAGTAAACATTGGTATGAAATGGTGTAAATATTTGTACTTTTGGACCATTTGATGGTCCAAAATGAAATAGTTGTGGTCCCCATGAAATGGTAGGAGGGTGACTTTTGGGGGAGTAGGGTATATTGGTTTGTTTTGGGTTTTTTTCCACTTGTAGTGGTTGGTTGAAGTGATCCTTCTGCCCCAATAGCTGCTTATTGAAATCTTTGCACTGTTTGTGGCTCTTTACTGTGCACTGTGGGGAATTAGAGCATGGAGAGGTGATGGTATAGTTTCTGTTCTGAAAGTTTATGATTCAGAAAGGGTTCTATCAGTCTTGATATGCTAGAAGGAAGGGAGGCCATCCAGAGGGATCTTGACAGGTTTGAGGTGTGGGCCCATGTGAACCTCATGAGGTTCAACAAGGCCAAGTGCAAGGTCCTGCACCTGGATCAGGGCAATCCTCAGTTTCAGTACAGGCTGGGGGATGAAGGGATTGAGAGTAGCCCTGCTGAGAAGGACTTGGGGATATTGCTGGATGAAAAATTGGATGCGAGCCAGCAATGTGCACTTGCAGCCCGGAAAGCCAACTATATCCTGGGCTGCATCAAAAGAAGTGTGACCAGCAGGTTGAGGGAGGTGATTCTCCTGCTCTACTGTGCTCTGGTCAGACTCCACCTGGATTACTGCATTCAGCTCTGAGGCTCGCATTAAGAGAAAGACATGGACCTGTTCGAGTGGGTCCAGAGGAGGGCCACGAAGATGCTCAGGGGGCTGGAGCACCTGCCCTGTGAGGACAGGCTGAGAGAGTTGGGGTTGTTCAGCCTGGAGAAGAGAAGGCTCTGGGGAGACCTTACAGTGGCCTTTAAATGTATGAAGGGGATTTACAAGAAAGATTGAGAAAGGCTTTTTTACTAGGGCCTGTAGTGAAGGGACAAGGGGCAACAGTTTTAAACTGATAGAGGTTAGGTTTAGAGTGGACATAAGAAAGATATTTACAATGAGAATGGTAGGATACTGGAATAGGTTGCCCAGAGAAGATGTGGATCCTCCATCATTGGAGGTGTTCAAGGCCAGGCTGGACGGGGCTTTTAGCAACCTGATTTGGGAGAAGGTGTCCCTGCCCATGGCGGGGGGGGTGGGACTAGATGATCTTTAGAGGTCCTTTCCAACCCAAACTATACTATGATTCTTTTAAGGGTTGGGTGGGTGTTTTTACCACATAAAGCAAATGTTGAGTCTTAGTGCAGCTCTGAAACAGTGCTTTGGCAGCTTCCACTAATTCCTGTACTTCCTTCTACAGTTATAAATTCAGGTTGCCTGCCATCTTCTGTATAAGTGCCTTGCCACTGCCAGCATGGGAGCCAAGCAGAAACACCCTTCAGCTCACAACAGAACTGAAGCCACAAGTTGACAATTCACATGCTCTATGTTTTTATATTTTCCTATTGATAAAAATGCAGTTACAGATGTAGCCAATTGTTTGACACAGCTGATGATACAAATGAGGAAGACCTTACACACAGCGATCTTTTATCTGCTCACCTGTGAAATAATCTTTCTCTCTTATCTGGCATTTTATGTTTATGTATGTGTTTATACTTTTGCAAAGGTTTTTGAAATGGATGTGGTAGACAATCTTGTGCCGAGAAAGGTTGAACCAGATGATCCTTGAGATCCCTTCCAACCTGGTATTCTATGACTCTTAGTAGACAACTTGGGTAACTTGAAGACTCTGTCTTGTTGGGGGCAGTTTCTGTAGCTCTTGAGCACGTGACAGTTTCATATGGCAGCTTAATTTTTTAATTTAAAGTTGTAATCTTACCTTTTCAGTCAGAGATGGAGAAGCCTAGAGGAAGGAAGAAACCAGCTATTACAGATTCAGAAGAGAAATTAAGCATAGATGACCTGAATAAACTGGGTCAAGAGCAGAAACTTAGAGGTAGTCAACGGGGAAGGAAGAGACCTGCAGTTGTTTCAGAATCTGATGAAACACAATGGCAAGAGGAAAAAAGGCTAAAAGAAGATGTAATAGAAAGTGAAGATGAACAGAACAGTCCACCAAAGAAAGGGAGAAGAGGACGCCCTCCCAAAGCAAATAACGGGGGAACACCAAAGGAAGAACCGGTAGCAAAGTCATCAAAAAGGAGCAAAAAAAAACAACCACCAGCAGCTGCAGCAGAAGAGGAGGAGGAGGAGGAAGAAAGGCAAACTGAAAACATTGAACAAAAGCCAAAAGGCAGGCAAAATAGGACACCGAAAAGAACACAGCAGAGGTAAGTCGGTCTTCTTGTAAGCTGCATCTTTTTTATCCTTGGACACTAGTTATAATTTGATACTTTGCAATTTGGGTCTTCCTCAAAACAGAGCAGAACCATCTGAAACTAGTACAGTTGAATCAGCACAGTCTACGCCACAGAAAAGACGAGGAAGGTCATCAAACACACCACCATCACAGCAAAAAAAAGTGTAAGTGGTGAATATTTTCTAAATTTGTGTTTAGTGAAATTTAAAAATATGCCTCTGCCCCCAAACAATCATTTACCGAAAATATTTCGGGATACTTTAATTGACAGTTAAGAAAATAAATTGCCATTGTTATTTCTAAAATGTTTTCCCTAGCTGCTTCTCCTAGAGCATTTCAAACCAGAGCAAGAGGCTACGAGTAAATTTAATGTGCTCAGGTAGCATATATGTAGCTTTGCTTTTCTAGGAGAAAAGTAAATAAAGTGAATGAGGGCATTGAAGATAGGTCATCATTAGGACTTCAAGGAGCGAAAAGTGCTCCCATTTATTTTGGATAGGGAGGAAGAATCAAATTGTTACTGTGGTGAAACAGTATTGTAGAGAATTAAATTTTTTCTGATTCACCTTAAATTAATGTTTGCTTACTTTCTAATTTGTGGCCTTCTTATTATCCACTTGAATCATTTCCAAATTAATAAAATGTGCTACAATCTATGAAGCATAGTAGCTCTTAAAAATTCTGAGGCATGTTAAGCTCCAAAATAAAGGTAAACTCTGTGGCTAGCTTCATTTTCCTATGCTTACTGTAGGAAACTACAGGTACCTGTACCTTTTCTGTACATGTACAGGCAATATATGGAAAGCAGAGGTGTACAAGTGGACAGGATTTATTTGCCCACTGGTATCAAACTGCAGCTCATGGAACAGATTTGCAAGATACTTTTACAAGAACCTGGTGGTAAATTCCTTAGGGCACGACTTGCGCGCATCTTCAGTCTGGCATTTTGTGTAACGCTGTTTTTTTAGCTTCTGGGCTTAGTGAGCATGATGTTGATCTTCCTCTGGCAGTTTAACATACCAATTTGCCTGTCCTCAGAGATCTTCCATACCGGAGATCTTTGCCTGAACAAGCTTGTACCCTCAATTCAAATTTTAGTTTCATGCTGGATCACGTGTTCTGGCTTTTTGCACACACAATATCCCGAGCTTTCCAGTGTTCTGTTTCCCTACCTCAGATCAGACCTCTTCTGCTCCTTTACTCTGTAACCAGAAACACATGTCCCAGCACTGTCTTGGTTACTACAGAAGTCACTGGTACATGTGCAGTGGAACAGGAGTTGGAAACTGCTAATGCCATGCAGAGAAGACAGGCCAACAAGTTATTGTTGGGTGCTAGGGGCAGCTTTGACAAATGCCATAGTAAATACTTAAGTAGCTTCTGATTCACATCTCAGTGTGCCACTTTACCTCATTTTAAACAGAAAGTAAACTGTATCAGTATCCACAATCAGTAACAGGCATAGCTCTTGTTCATGTATATGTACATTGTTCCTGGCATGAGAAGCCCAAGTTGTTTCAGGGTTTGGAGTTGTTTGGTCTATTCTAGATTTCATCCAAAAAAATACTGTGTGTATTTTTTAATTTTTGTGATTCAGACCACCCAAATTTTGACTGTCCTTTTTCCAAATCTGCAAGAAAAAGGTGAGACCACAGTAATTCCTCAGTGCAGGAAGACCTTTCTCCCTTTTCTACATACATTTATACAGCAGTTTTACATGAAGGGAGCTGACAGACTGGGCAGCACTGTGTACCGAAAGATAAAATATATTTAATCCAAGTGCTTAAAGCTTTCTGATTTCCTTGGGGGATGGGTTTGGCATAATACTTTGGGATTCTACCTACAAGGTGATAGTGTATAACCTATTTCTGATAACTAATTGGCTTACCAATTGGAGCGTGTGAACTGCCTTATTTTTGTAACATGTGAAAAGGTGAACCTAGCTTATCAATAATTCTGCTGTTTCCTTTTCAATTCTGTTGCTTCTGTCAGTCTTGGAAGGCTGGAGTTGGGCTAATTTGTATTGTTTCTCAGAGGATGTCTTGTTGGTTAGTTGGTGCTGAAACCCCCACTATACTGTAATTACTATATGCAATTCAGAGATTTTATTTTGTACAGATTTTTTGTGTGGTTCTCAGGACTGAAAATTCCTACCATATGTGTGGTTTGATGCTGTCATAGGACAGTTGTTTTGGATCTGTATGCCTCCACTGGAGATTGAAGTGTGTTTGTTGTCTGCCTGGAACAGAGCTTATGGTTGAATTTAATCCAAAAAGTCACCCAGTTTGGGTGCATCAAGACTGCATCTGCAGTAAGCAGGATAATTCAGTGATTTGATTCTGAACTGTGCTAATGACCCAAACCAAAATGGTAGTGTGAATGCAACTGTGTAGGTTTGGATATATAATCTAGTTGGCTTTTCCTTTAAGGCATGGAGGGGACTAGTTCTTATTTTAAGCAAGTGGTTGCTTTTTGCTTGTGGTTCAGCTCCCATGACTAACACAGACAATTTAAGGTATTGTTGACTGATTTTTTTATTTTATTTTTTTTTCCTTGATTATCCTGATTAAGGTATTGTTACCCTGATTATCCCTGGCTCTTAGCATGAGCTAGCTTGTAAGATTTGCATTTAGGTTCATTATAGTGTTAATTTCATAAATAGCAACATGAGTTCTTATAGGTCTGTAAAAATATAGATGCAGTTATTCAAATTTTGTTTTGTATAGACTCCTATGTAAGTAGAGTACATCTATTCATGGAATCGAATAGAAGGGGAAAAAAACTCCCAAGTATTCAGTCTCTGGCTGTTTGGCTTTTCCTGTTCACTGGTTACTGTTGTGTCAGCCTTCTTTGGCCTGTATTCTGGCACTGAAGAGAAAAATCTGTCTTGTCTATACAGGCAAAAATTGTTCAATTTGGTACTCCTAGCCCTCTCTTCTGGAAGAATTTGGTTTAGAAATGCTGCTATAGAGCTCCTAGTTCTACTTCTTCTGTTCCATGTATGGATGAACTAGATAGTATTATATAACATGAAATGTTGAGGGTGCTGTCCTTGTAAAGTAGAATGTTTGATCTTATATGGTTCATACATGTGCAGACCCATATACTGTGAAACTGATCTTTGTTGTTCTTCTGATTGCAGCCGTGCAGGACGTTCCAAACAAGCAGCCAGTAAAGAGAATGAATCTAGTGAAGAGATGGATGTATTTCAGAGTAGTTCACCTGTCAGTGATGACATTCCCCAGGAGGAAGTAATGGAAGAAGAGGAAGTTTCCACAATCAATGTAAGAGAAATGCCTGAGATTTTCTTTGTGGTCTTTGTGGTGTCCTCTGTTCAGAGAATGACTGCTGTTCTTAGAACTTAAGCTTCCTCCTTTAAAATGAATGAGGTGGTTGTCAGCTGCCACTGTTGTGTAGTGGCACTGCACTGTGGTTTCCCAGAGAAGCTGCATTTCTTATAAAATGTCATTTTTTGTCAAGCATCTTAAATTTTCTGTTCTCTACAGCTTTTGTTATCTGTCTGCCCAAGTTGTGTAGTAGCTCATGGGAATTATTTTCCAGGTAACTCATGCCCATTCTTCTTAGCTAGATTATAATAGTGAATGACGTTTCTTTATACAAAACAAGAACACAAAACAAATAGTATTGGAAAATAAGTATGGAATCTTGAAGGAGAATACTAAATCAGTTTCTTCCTCTTATCGGCATATGCAAATACATTAAAATAAGTTTATGTTTATATTTATTTCGTACAAATACATTAGTAATGTTAGTAGGAATAATAAAAATCATAGAATGGTTTGGGTTGGAAGGGACCTTAAAGACCATCTTGTTCCAGCCTCCTGCCATGGGCAGGGACACCTTCCACCAGACCAGCTTGCTCAAAGCCCCATCCAACCTGGCCTTGGACACTGCCAGGGAGGGGGCAGCCACAGCTTCTCTGGGCAACCTGTGCCAGTGCCTCACCACCCTCACAGTAAAGAATTTCTTCCTAATGTCTAATCTAAATCTACCCCCTTTCAGTTTGAAACCATTACCCTTGTCCTGTCACTACAGTCCCTGATCAAGAGTCCCTCCCCACCTTGCCTGTAGGTCCCCTTTAAGTACTGGAAGGCCGCTATAAGGTCTCACCAGAGCAGAGTACAGGAGCAGAATCACCTCCCTCAACCTGCTGGCCATGCTTCTTTTGATGCAGCCTGGGATACAGTTGGTTTTCTGGGCTGCACGTGCACATGACTAGCTCATAGTCAGTTTTTCATCCACCAACTCTCCCAAGTCCTCCTCCGCAGGGCTGCTCTCAATCCACTCATCACCCAGCCTGTATCTGTGCTTGGAATTGCCCTGACCCAGGTATAGGACCTTGCACTTGGCCTTGTTGAACTTCATGATGTTTGCATGGATCCACCTCTCCAGCCTGTCAAGGTCTCTCTGGATGGCCTCCCTTCCCTCCAGTGTGTTGATCGCACTACACAGCTTGCTGTCGTTGGCAAACTTGCTGAGGGTGTTGCCAACAAAGATGTTAAATAGCACTGGTTCCAATAACGACCCTTGAGGAATTCCACTTGTCAGTGGTCTCTACTCAGTTATCAAGCTGTTGACTGCAAGTCTTTGAGTGCGACCATCCAGCCAATTCCTGATCCACCCGGTGGTCCATCTGTCAAATCCGTATGTCTCCAATTTAGAGACAAGGATGTTGTGTGGGTCAGTGTTGAATGCTTCTCACAAGTCCACGTAGATGATGTCAGTTGCTTTTCCCTTATCCACCATCGCTGTAACCCCATCATAGAAGGCCACCAAATTTATTAGGCACAGTTTGGCCTTAGTGAAGCCATGTTGGCTGTCATGGCTCCTCGTTCGTTTCCATGTGCCTGAGCATAGCTTCCAGGAGGACCTGCTCCGTGGTCTTGCCGGGCACAGAGGTGAGACTGACTGGGCTGTGATTTCCTTGGGTCTTCCTTTTTTCAGTTTTTGAAAGCGGGGGTGGGGGTGATGTTTCTCCTTTTCTGGTCAATGGGAACTTTGCCAGACTGCCATGACTTCTCAGATATGATGGATAGTAGCTTAGCCACTTTATCCGCCAGTTCCCTCAGGACCTCAGTTCTCATCAGGTCCCATGGACTTGTGCACCTTCACATTCCTTAGATGGTCTCAAACCTGATCTTCTCCTACAGTGGGTGGTTCTTTATTCTCCCACTCCCTGCCTTTGCCTTCTGCGACTTGGACGGTGTGGCTGGAGCACTTGCCGGTGAAGACTGAGGCAAAAAAGGGGTGAGGTACCTCAGCCTTCTCCATATCCCAGGTAGCCAAGTGTCCTGTTTCCTTCCTGAGAGGGCCCACATTTTCCCTAG